GACAACTAATTGAGAATGTCCTAGTTTTGGGTCACTACATGAATGAGCGTTATCTATATGTTATATGTACATATGTATATACAGATGTACCCATATGTATATGTCTTATATACGTTCTACTGAGTACCTATGGCAAGTGCTGTAAAGCTTAATGCATTTCTAAGGTCACAAATGGGCGTGTTATGTACAATGCTATCACACATAAATATGTATATACATACATACATACATGTACATATATACCCATTGTAAGGGAGTTAAATTGCTGCCGGCTACAACCGGTTTGCACAGAGCGTCTCTGTCTGATATGTTTTTTTTTTTTGTGAATAGTTCTGCATGATAGCTTTTACTTTTGGGATAGAAAATAGCAATAATAAACAAGTGAAATTACATAGAAATGACCGTCAGACGTCAAAAGGCATAGCAATTAAATTTGACTTGTCTACATACGTTAATTTTGGCAAGTCATCCGAGCTAACCCTGTAGACGAAACTAAGTTTTTTCATATTTTGAAAATATGTTTCATTATAAATAACCTCTGCGTCTATTGTGCGACTATATTAAGATTGCAATAAAAAGAGCCAAGGCAATATCTATAAAATATCTATTTATGTAGTTTGCCCTTAAACTTGAGTCACTTACAATTTAATAAATCTACAATTTATAATATAGTAGACTCGACTGTATATACAAACATTAAATTGACTTTTAAGACTCACATTAAGTATATTCACATTTGAACTAGGCCTTTGAGATAGGCGCCTCAAGACTTACTCCGAGAGCGAATGATTCACTCAGCTCAGTGTGCGTGGGCGAAGACGCTGTCCAGAGAATGATGCGTGCACATACATACACATACCTACACACACATGTGTATTAATTTCTATGGGTATGTATGTATTACAACTTTTACTCGAGCTTGACAACGCGCTTTCAATATGAAATGTAGAATTCATTTGAACAAAAGAAAGTATATTTCTAGCTAGATACGAGATTTTACCCACACACATACTTGTACATACTTATATATATGCTCGGAGATAGCGATAGCAAAGCGAGTGCGAATTAACATGCTTCCACGATAGAGTCCAGCAACATTATCACAAATTGACTCTTGAGAAAATAAGAAATTAATGTAAAAGTGATTTACTTTTAGCAGCAAGTGAAAGAAAGATCAATTTTGTGTGCTCTACTTGAATAGTTTTTTTTTCTTTTCTTTTCTTTTCTTTTTTGTTTGTTTTTTAGCATTTGGCAGTTGGCTGCAATTGTTGTTTGTATACAACAATTTGGTCAATTGGCAAAGACGAAAAAAATACAACCACAAAAAAATAGAAAAGCAATAAAAGTATACGAAATGATTACGACCTTGAGCTCTTATTTTCATTTGTTGTGCAGCAGCAAAAATGATATACAAAATATTAATAAAAAGCAATTAAATTTAGGCAATTGAATTTAGTATTTAGTTTAGTAAAAGTTTGACTAAAGTCTATGTAAATGTCAGCATAAATCAGGAAGTAATTTTGTTTCAGAGGCAAAGAGAAAAAACTAGTTATTTTAAATTGATTTCTCTCATACATACATATATACCCTAGTAAATCAATTCGCTTTATCAAATCTTAAAACAGGTTCTTAACTACTGCCTGTGTTGGCCCACTCTAATATACAAAAATAAAGTGAGTCCAAATATACGTTAATTAAACACAATTCAAAAAGCCATCGAACGCGCCAAAGCACGCAAATTGGGTATATTGCCATAAATAAACAATTTAATAAAAGTTGAATTTGACAAATTATTTAGGCTCGTGGAACGAAACGCGCTTCGCGACAGAGCAAGAAACGCACGTCTTTTGCCCTGGCTATTTAAGTAAATTGCAAACTGAGAACTTTGACTCGTGTCGGCAGCAGAGCTTTCCACAGTTGGGTCGGACAGTGTACATGCTTTGTTTGTGTTTGAGGTTAAGGTCTCTTAATAATTATAATGAGACGCTTCTCCAGTTGAGCCGGAGATGAATTGATTATTCTCAGGCGTTTTTTTTTCTGATGAGAGATAAAAATATCTTCGTAACTGCATAACTGAGCTTTCAGCACTTAGGTCGTACAGTGTAAATGCTTTGTACTCCGTTTAAGGTTAAGGTCTGATAATTGTGTTAATGAGAAACTCGTACCAGAGCCAAGAAACAAAACTGATTTAGAGCATAATTGTTTTGCCTGATTCCCACAGCTAAATCAATATTTAGGGTATATCCAAATCAACTCGTATTTACACAGCTTGAAATGCGCCTGAAAACAAATTTACGCAAATTTTTGTAGTTTGCGCAAATGCTTCAATATTTGTATGGCACACACACACACAAATTAAAAAACGTGCACAAATGTCAGTCTACCGAATACAATTCAAATTTTTACCTAAGCTCTGCTGGCCATATTGTTGTTGAAGGAAGTTTAACACGAACCTAAAACATATACCAATGCAATGCCATATATATGATCTTAGTGCGAAGGCGTGCGAAGCAAATAAAATAATCGATGTGACTTGTTCGTCAGTAAAAGCGAAAGACAAGACACACAAAACATAAAACATCAAAAAGAACAGGTTTTGTTTCGTTTGAACACTCTTTCTTATATAGATTATCAAAATGTTATTAAATTTGTATCACTTTCTCATTTATATGAAAACAGCAGGTTTCAAAACCTATAGATATATAATTTAATTTCATAACAAAAATATTAATTATACAGCTATCAATTTAAGCTGAAAATTGTTTATTTCGAACTTGCGTGAGTGCATTTAAACTTCGTCGTATTTCATTTCAAGATTAATTCCACGTTTTATATGGTTTTCTCTCTGACAATTCGCTTGTGAAAACGAAAACTACCTTTATATACATACATAGTTTAGAATGAAAGAGATAAATGGCAAACAATGTCTGCTTAAATTGCACGTTCAGTTGTCATAAATACACACATATATGTACGTATGCACGTACGTACATAAGTACGTAGAGAGTAAGCGAAAGAGAAGCAAAGAGCGAGAGAGAGGCATAAGCATTCATCATAGAGCTGAATAGTGCGCTCACAATCATGCGTTGCAAGGCGCATATTGTCACAAATTAGGTCAAAGTTGAACTGAAAACGTTAAAAAAAAATAAAAACACGCATTTGGAATTATATGCATATATTTGCTTACATATAAATATGTATGGCTGACAGATTGCCTGCTTTGTGCAAATATGCCGAAATATTCGCTCTGTCTAGAATAATATCTCTTAATTATTTCTCAGTGAAGAGTTGAAGAGTAATGATGTATTGGAGTTCTTTTCTATTGGAATTTATTTTCTGAATCTGCATAGTGATATCGATGTAACAAAAAGAGTGTGTGAATTTTTTGAAGACGAAAACTCTGCACTCAATTAAACGCGCTCTGTGCACAGCAATATTTCTAGAAAATATGTATATACATATGTACAGGCATTTGCCATTTCCTGTTTTGTTTTTACATATTTACATACAGACGCTATCGCTACATTAAGGCAACATAAGATGCATTGCTAAATAATTACACACAAACATTTCCCCTTTATAGCACTTATCAACAATGTCAGCGCAAGCTACCAAACGGGCCTCAACGCAAACTCCCAGTCAGAATGGCTGCCAAGCGAAAGGCAACTGACGCTGCTTAAGCAAACTCAGTGAATTGGAAAATAAGCGCAGCAGAAGCCGAATGAACAGATGGACAGAAACATGCAACACCTGCTGCTGCTTCCGAAAGTGACAGAATGAAACTGAAATTTATACTGGCGGTAAAAGAAAGCAGAGTGGAAGGCGAAACCCCTATTGAACAGCAAATTGCGCCACACGCGTATATCAAAATTTTTATCAATTATTTAAAGCTGCAAAACAAACAGACAATACAGAAAATTATGCAATGTATTATTGTTGCCAGTAATATACATGCATAGATATGCATGTATATACAAATAAGTGTACACATAACTCATATTACTAACACATCACATTACAATGAAATAAATAAATATTGAAATAAATTCATTCATTCAACTACATCGACCTTGATGTCAAGTGAAAAGGGTGCTAAACGAGTGAGAAATATATTCAAGCAATAATCAGAATTGCAATTATTAATTAATTATGCAGACGCTTTCAACGGTTATTTTATTTTAATTTATTTTGTTTTTTTTTATTAACTATAGAACCAATTAACTTGGAAATTAAATATGATGATAACGCCTGGGTAACTAACCTTTTGCTGATTTTGGCGTGACGGGTTTTAGGTTTTCGGTTGTGTTATTTATTTTTATGTTGATTGCTGCTGATGCGCTCCAAATGTTGCGGGTTACCCAACAACTACCAAGACCAGGCCCAAGACCAGCGACCAGGCCAGGCCAAAATGACTAATACTCACGCACACATACAAGTACACTCACACACATGCAATATCGAAATCTTTTTTGCCGCGCTCGTTCACCAAACTAGCCACGAGATATTTGTGCGAGTGTGAGTGATGGGTTGCGTGTGTGTGTGAATGTCACAACACAACAATACTATACACGAAAAAGAGGCAGCTGCTAAATGCAGTGCTATTGCTTGCAGCTGCAATTCCAAACTGCTTTATTATTCAATTCACTTAAAATACACTAATCGATGAGCACAGTTACAAATTTGTAATTTATATACACAATTTTTAAAATATGTTTATAGCAAGTTTCTCGTAGAACAAACTTCGTTTTATATTCAGCAAAATTGCGCCGCGATTTGCTGCTGCTGGTCGTTTTCGCTCGTTTGACAATCCGTTGTCAGAGTTGTAACAATTCTGTCTAAAGATGATGGTTGTGACTATCGGATATTAGATATCGATATCTGAACCGTTTGTTGCCGATCAAATTAATTTGATATGCCTATACTTGTTGTTTGCCCATACATATTAAATAAATTATTTTAATCGTAATTTTTTGAATCTAGATGTGCGCCGTTATAACAATCTCAGTATATTTTTGAAAACAAAATTAAACAATGCGATAGGCTGGTAACACTGTCACACAGCTGTTTTTGGCTGCAAGCAAACATAGCAACAACAACAAATTCGAAAATCTCTTGAAGTAAACGCAGACAAAACGGTCAGGAAATCATATATTGCTGAAATCATTGGGCTAGGCCTATTATTGCGTACTTTTAGCATGGCCTGGCGCTCCGTCGGTGCAAACAATGCAGATCTTATTCGTCAGCTACGGGGTAAGCATCCAACAAGTGCAATCATCCAATTAATTTGTTCTTAATATGTATGTATGTATGTACTTTGTGTATTTATAAATATACATTTATGAAATAGATTACGGCGTAATTTCAACCGAATCTGTTGCAAATGCAATGATAGCAACGGATCGCAAACACTACTCTCCTCGTAATCCGTATATGGATGCACCGCAACCCATTGGCGGAGGCGTGACCATAAGCGCCCCCCACATGGTAATATTTCACTATTCACTATTCATATACATATATGTAGATCAGTCATTTGATAAAAACTCTCCACTCTTGTGACTTTTCGACTTAGCACGCGTTTGCTTTGGAATATTTACGGGATCAACTCAAGCCCGGCGCTCATGTGCTCGATGTCGGCTCAGGCTCCGGTTATTTAACTGCTTGCTTCTATCGCTATGTGCAGGCGAAGGGCGATAATGCGAACACTCGAATCGTGGGAATTGAGCATCAGTCCAGTTTGGTTGCAATGAGTAAAACTAACCTGAACGCTGATGATCCCAGTATGCTAGAGTCGGGCAAAATGATTATTGTTGAGGGAGATGGACGTAAAGGACATCCTTCACTAGCGCCCTACGATGCCATACATGTGGGCGCAGCAGCACCAGACACACCTACCGAATTAATAAATCAATTGGCAAACGGAGGTCGCCTCATAGTTCCTGTTGGTCCGGAGGGTGGCACGCAGTATATGCAGCAGGTGTGTATTCAAATACGTATCGAAAAATACACTCTGAATAATTCGTATCACTTAAATATGCAGTACGACAAGGACGCCAATGGCAAGGTACAAATGACACGTCTGATGGGTGTCATGTATGTACCTTTAACGGATTTACGGTCCTGACTGCATAATCTATGGAAAGCGCTGGTCGTTGTGGTGCTGCTTGGTTACGTGCTCTATCGATTATGGGTAGATTATTATTAGCTTTATTTTTAACGAATATTAACGGCAAACCCTCAAGTTTGAGTAATTACCATAGTAAACATACCTAAATTTATTTAACCCTACATATTTAAATATAAACGCAATAAATTCAACATTTTTCTTAAATTCAAATTTCAAAAATTTCATTAAATACATTGACAACAGTATCAAATTAAATTTCATCGCCCTTCCTGCAAATTGCGAATTTTTTGACAGCTGTCAAAATAGTTTTGACGTTTGTATGTATATGCCATTTTCTCTCGACGAATACTTTGATTAAGTCAATTTCACTATACTCCCGTTCGTGCGTTTGTAAGCTCCGAAATGAATTATATTTCGAGCATGCTGGAATCGGTCAACGATGACTGGAAGCGCATTCATACTTCAACACTTTCCAGGGCGTCTTTGCAAAGTATAGCGAAGGCTTCCATAGGTGAGACATTGACTGGAAGACTGATTCAGGCTGTGGCTCAAAATGTGCGCAAAGATGTTAGCCAAGTAGTAGCTGAGGCCGCAAAGTATGCACGTCGTACACGTTCCTCGAAGATTACAATGGATCACTTGCTGTTTGCTTTGGAGGAGCTCAATATTAGTTTGGACCTTCTACATGTAAATTACGCGAAGCCAGATCCGATTGAGGCAGATAAACCCATTTCTAAGCCACCAATTAAAAAATCATCAATTAATCGAGTGTCTCGAAAATATTCAAAAATAAGAAAAAGGGAACGCGAAGAGCAATACGAACCGTACGATAGTAATGCACCTTTAGAAGAGCGCAAACGCTGGCTGAAGCGCGAGCGAGTGCTGCTCATGTCAAACAAAAGGTTTCCCTTATCCAAGGAGCAGCAAGAGCTCTATCTGGTAATCACGGAGGCGTGCATGGGCAGCTCCGAGTCGGCACGCCGAGAGGCGCTGCAGAGTCTAAGGACCGATTCGTCACTGCAGCCAATGCTCTACAGATTGAGTCTGTTTATTTGCGAAGCGATCAAGGTGAATGTGGCACAGCAGAACTTTGCTCTGTTGATATATTTGATGCGTATGGTGCAAAATTTGCTGGCTAATCCACATTTACAGCTGCATAACTATGTAAGTTCATTATCCTTCTTGGAGTCGTTTATTAAACATTTCTATTGCAGCTTCACCTTTTAGTGCCATCTTTACTCTCCTGTGCTGTGACTCGGCAACTCTGCCCCTTTCCGAAGGCTCAGGATCAATTGGCGGTGCGCGAATATGCTACCACCGTTATGGCCGACCTTATTAGGGCTTATGGCTACCTCGGAAATGATATTCTGTCAAGAGTAATTAGGTATGTGGTTACGAATGTTGTAAAGACAAATGTTAGGAATCATTAACCTTTTCTAAATTAAATTTTAAGCGTATATAAGACGGGGCTTAAGTCTTCCATATTAATGACGATTTATGGCAGCCTCATTGGATTGGGCAAAATGGGTAAATATGTAATACGTGACTGTGTTATACCAGAAATTCGATCTATATCGGAAGTAATCGAACCGCATTTGCTCAAGAAAGACCCTGATAAGTATTTATTTAAAATTGCGAAATATATACGGCACAGACTTTTGAAAATGACCGCTCCAATTCTTAAGAACATACATGATACATCCGATGACAGGGACGAGTATACAAAAAGATATGGTTATTTAGGAAACACATTGTATGATGCCGTTTTATTGGACCACTTTGTGGATAATCTCATTGAAGAGATCGAAGAGGATAATATATCACATATAAATGCAGAAGAATAGTTAAGTTTTATTTTTTATTTTTGAATCAATAAAAATAAAAGTTTATATACATTCAATTTTGTTTAATTAATTAATAGTTTATTTTGTTATTTTTTTTTTTTTCAACGAGCAATAGTTTGAAAAAAGTGCACTATATTTAAAATAGAGGAATTATTCGATTACGCTATCGATAACAGTTCTGTTGGTTCTGATTGCCTCCTCAATGAAATTATCGAATTTCGTACAAAACACAACAGGTCGTAGGATATAAGCATGTCAACAAATGTCGGTAAAATCCGCCTTAGAAACTTGGCTGAATTGCAGCAAATTCAGGTTGAAAAGGATGAAACAGATGACGTAATGGTAGTTACAATATCAAGTGGAGATGAAAACAAGACTCCAGAAAAACCGAAAAAGGCGGGAATCAAACGTGCATCATCTACGGCAAAGAAGAAGAGTACTGATGAAACTAAAAAAGTTGTTGCTACTAACACTGCGATCAAACGAACTGTAAAAAAGGAACCCTTACCAGGTCAAATGCGCATCGATTCCTTTTTCAAAAGCTCCTCGAAAAGCTATAAAGTTGAGCTATCATCAGAACATAGCCCAATAAAAATGAAAGCACGTAAGGGATGCAAGCGGCTGTTCGATGAAGAGTCCACGACAAAAGGAACTATTCCTAAAACGTCCGTGCTGTCTTCGGATATCGAAAATAAACGAGAGACTGTAAAAAAGCGCACGCTGCCGCAACGCAAATCCAAGGCAAAATGCTCAACATCCCCGGCTGCCATAATTGATCTGTGCTCTGATGAGTCAGAATCTGATCAAAGCATCAGAGCTAGACCAATTCCAATTGATAAATTGAAAGATTGTCAGCTGAATCCATTACCTATAGTGAATATACCTAATTTAGAAGTTCAGGGAAGTAATGATGCTGGTGCACGCTCAAAAGAAAATGGACCCAAGGAACGAAAGCGCAAACGTTGTCCGTCCTATAAGATTGTGGAAGATACGACATTCGTAGTCGATGGTTTCCAATTTGGCGACATACCGAATGCGACGCACTACTTTCTTAGTCACTATCATGCCGATCACTACGTGGGCCTAACCCGGAAGTTTGCGCATCCGCTGTATATGAGTCCAATAACAGCAAAGCTCGTGCGAACCTTTATACCCATTGACAACCAATATATGCATGAAATCGATGTTGGGGAGTCCATAACGCTCAATGAGGTTGAAATAACTGCTTTAGACGCCAATCAGTTAGTAGTACATATCTAGCCAAATCAAGTTGATTAATTTATTGTCTGTTCTACTATTTTATAGTTGTCCGGGTGCCATTATGCTGATGTTCAAGTTTACCACTGGCAAGTGTATTCTTCATACTGGGGACTTTCGTGCAACTTTTGAAATGGAGTCGTTGCCTATTTTCTGGAACGAGCCGCGAATTGATGTTCTTTACCTGGACACAACATATTTATCAAAGAACTATGACTTTTGTCTTCAGTCTGACAGTATCGATAGAATTTGCACCGCAGTGAGGCAATTTCATGAGAAGAACGCCGACAAGCGTATATTGCACGTATGTGGCTCATATTTAATTGGAAAAGAGAAGGTGTGGCTGGCCTTGGTCGAGGAGTTCAGGTTGCGTGTCTGGACTGAACCGCATCGCCGCAAGGCAATCGACTGTCTCGATTGGCCAGAGCTGCAGCTGAGCCTTTGTGATGATCCCCTCGAGGCTAATTTGCATGTTATCAATATGGGAAAGATAAGCTATCCGGTAAGTAATTCCTTTGCGGCCATATTACAGCATTTCTAATTAAGCCTTCTATTCACAGAGTCTAGATCAGTACTTTAAGACATTTGAAGGCCACTATGATATGCTGATTGGCATACGACCTAGTGGTTGGGAAAAGAATTCTAAGCCTTCATACGGCAAGCGTATCAGTGTAATTGGAGTAGAATATTCAGAGCATTCGAGCTACAAAGAGCTGGAACGATTTGTACGATTCCTTAAGCCAAACAAGGTCATCAGCACCGTCCCTGTTGGAAAAGATCTCTGTGTTACTGGAACAGTTCCGACTAACTGGTACAAATACGAGGGATGCGGGAGTATGCTTAGTACAAGCTATCAGCCCTCTATCACTACGTTTTTAGAGACATCCAAGCGTAGTTTCCCAGCGTTGGCCAATACAAGCAGTGATATGAGCGTTAGTCCATTGAAGAATGAGAGCACCATAAACACGGCCAACAACGAAGATCTCTTTGAGGCGAAACAGATTACAGAGGATTCTGCTAATGTAAATGTTCCTGCTGCTCATCATCTGCCCGCTAAGCGAATTACGTCAGATGCTTCGAGTGACTTGCTTTCATTGATTTAGCTATTGGTAACAGTGATAGTTTATTGTTGTGTTATTGTTTATATTTTCATTGAAAGTGCAACGTATTTATTTTTCGATCATTCCACAATTTAAAAAAGTTGACTTCTGTTTCAAATGGCAGGGAACCAAAATGAAGCACTGGTAAATCAGAATCATCCAGAATATATACGACCATCATTAAAGCTATTGTTGAATTCTCGGAGTCAGAAAAGTACTTAGATAAGAAAATAAATTCATGTTAATCCCCAATGTAAATTGCATTTCTCTACATATACAAAATATAATATGTATGTTATATATTCACACATTTTTGCGTTTTTAAAACAACATTAAGATATCACCATTTATGTTTGCATCTTTTCTTATCGCTATCAGTTGCTCGCCCACCCAACGCAACTGAACTCAATGTAAACATAGCGTTTTTTATACACACAAGGCATTATATTTGATTACAGTTTTTTAGTTTAAATACATATATGCACAATCCATTTATTTATATATATATTTGTATTCCAATTCATTTATATATATATAAATATATATATAGAAGAATTCCTCTAGTTGACATAGTAACACTTGATTATATAGCTTATGATAAATGTAAATAGCTCAGAGACTACAGAACTTTGGGAGTGTTAACTGATATATTGTATTGTTTGTTGATGATATTCACAATGTAGGGGATTGAAATAAATGAGTTCAATGCGTCCTTGGGCTTATCCATAATTAAGGGCATTAATTTGAAGCCGTTTGTAAATAATTCACACTGATATGTTTTGGTATTAATAAAAAATGAAAGTGTAACCATGATGAAAGCGCAAGATTAACAAAGTTTGGAATGGACACTATGCCGAATGTGGCTTATTCATTTTGTATAAATTTTAACAATCCAACCACAGGAACAGTAAGGAAAACAACATGCATCAGTTATTAACCTTGATTATATACAGGGCTATTGGTGTGTATATGCACATAAATACATTTTTTCGACATGTTGTTAAAACTAACAAATTTAACAAAATCCAAAGTGATTGAATACAACTAAAAACTTTTGTTTATATAGTACATAACAAGAAAGCGACCAGACCAGTAGAATTGGCGGGTAATACAGGTGCTCGGTATGTCTGAGACCAATTAACTGAAATAGAGTAAAGTTATTAAAACATTGTATAATTGTATTCATATAGATGTCAACTTACCACCAAGAGAAGAAGGGACTTTTGTTTTGGAAGCGCTGTGTGAATGAAAAAAAGCGACTGCCACTCGAGCTGTGTGAAGATGGTAAAGGAGAAAAAAGTTAGTATCTATTACTCGAGTTTGCTCTAACCGAACTCTATTACCGTTCGACAACAACAGCTGGCATCTGAACTAACTGGACGGGCGATTTTCCATCCCGTAACGCTTGCGTGAGATTTAGAATTTGCCCGCGCATCACGGACATCTGGCGCTCAAATAGTCGTTTATCAAAGCCTCGGTCCTGCTGGAATAAGTATAGCAGTTCCGTGCATATTTCTTCCACAAAATTCAGGTCGGACAGTTGGGGCAGCACTTGATCCTTTATGTCATTGCTAAACGGGATCTTGGCCTGAGGTAGCCAGGCCCAATGGTACGGATATGCTCGCCAAGAGTCTGGATGTTTAAATGGAAAAGCCAGGCCATTGTCAATGGCGGCAATTCTTATTTGTGGTGCTTCCACCATATTCCATTCCGGGTCTTTTGGATTTTTGTTTGTTTCATCCTCGCTGCTTGTATTGCTAGTATGGCCACCAATCGCTGATTCAGCAACGCCCATTGAAGTGGGTGCAGGAGAACCGCCGGCTTCAATGCGACTTGCGTTATTGATTGGAGCAGCTATTGACGGCTCATTAAGGTCTACTATTGTCTGGCCAGGCACGAATTTTTTGGCACGCGACATTGTCTTGCCACCAGTCCCACCGACCGAGCCCAACACTTTGGGCGCAACGTATTTAATAAGCCAGTTGTCATTGCCTCGATCCGTATTACGAATAATATAATCGAGAACAACCAAACGTTCAAACTGTAGCTGAAATGATTTGGCGAGCGCCGGCGACAAATGCTCATGCTCAAAGCGACGCAGCCAGTAATCGGCATCCTTGTATCCTTCCACAAAAAGTTGAAATGATCCAGTCTGTGGAATGGAAATCATTAAATGAGAAATGTTTTATCTTTAATTATGCTGACTATTCACCTTTAGTGGGAGGCTCATGCGGTTGAAGTGTGCCGACGGATAGTGCTCTTTAATTCGTTTCTTCAACTTGGCCTTCTGGCGATCTATGCGAGCATAGTTAAAGCTCTCGGCCACCAATCGAACCACTCGTGTTTTCGGCACAATGTTTAGATTTAGTTTTCGATCCACCAAGCTCGCGCCAGCCTCGGACAGGTAGCTATCAGATAATATTGTTAAAATGTATTGGCTAAATAAAATAATAAATGAAACATACCCTTGATTTGGTATTAAACAGGCGCGTCCGAAACAACATGGACAACAAAGTTTGTGCATCCACTTGGTCCATTTCGGATTCAGTCTCCCATATGGCTCTTCATCTTTTGGCTTAAAGACAGCCAGACATCTTTGCTATTTTTACAAAATGAAATACATCAATTAGATTTACATTTTAATGCACTTTTAAAAATATATATATGTATGTATATATATGTATATGTAGTTATTTCAAAGCCAAACCAAAAGTCAAGTGAAACATTTTGATAACAAGACTTCCCCGTTTGTTTGATGATTTATTATATGCGCTTATTTATTTAATCACAAGGTTTAACTTAGAAGCTTGGACTATGCGAAGCGCATTTAATATGCAGAAATAGATTGTAACTTGTTGAAGAGTCATAAAATCTTTACTTTTAAAAATAGATATTTTTGTCTTGTATCTTTCAGAGTTATTTTTCTTTCGGATTCGTTCGTTAAACTTACTCTTGAAGCATCCTTGACGAAATAGGAACCACTGCTGCCCTGATAGATACGCTCAGGTAGAACGCCCTGCTCGATCGCATATTCAGCTTGTGCCACGATTTCCGAGAAGAGCGGATCGTCTGAAAACAATGTAAAAAGCTTTCAAAATTACTCAAAAATAAATAAGTTTTTTATGAGTTACTAATCAAATTTGTGTGTAATACAAAAATGCGCATGCCCTGAACAATGTCACAACGCGAACTGTTGAAAAAGTTTCAACCAAGAATCATTGTTTATAAATAAATAATCAACTTTTAAGTAGAACTTAATGAGCTAATCGTTGCGTGACTGTTTGGTGTGTCTATAATAATATACACATGTGTAATGTGTACGTGACGGGGTCGAGAACATGCGGTTAACCACAAGGCAGATGCAGCTGGTATTTATTGCAAAGCCGCTATCCAACTGCCACATAGGTGAAATGCTAAGACAAAATTTAAGTACCTATAAAGTCAAAGTTGTCATTGAAGTCACAGTGATCCTGGCAGATGGTAAATACATGTTGTATAAAATTCTCGCGACTGGAGCTCAATGAACGCGGCATCACAATGAAATGTGTGTCGGTGCCCAAGTAAACTCGCTCCAGGCTGCCATCGCATCAAATAGGGGCCCCCATTAAAAAGCAAACAGTTCGAAATTTGCATATCTAAAGCGTTTAGATAGGGTCTGCCCCACATTTATACATATATGTCGACTTGACAGCGACTTACACAGGTTCTTCACCGGGCAATTGGCGCACTGACATTTCGGCTGAGCTATTTTAAATGTGACAGAATCTTGAGAATAGCGAATTCCAGAGGGAGCAGTATATAAAATCGGAGGTGTCTCCTCTCCCGATGAAATATAGTCCTTCACCTCTGCATCACATTTGTTATGCTTGCACGTACATCCGTACGGCTCATACTCCGAATCACTTGACTCTGCGCCACTAAAGGCAGCGACGGCTGCGGTGGCAGTGTCTACACTGCCCCGCTTCGCCGGCTGCCTAATGGACACATTGTCGGCATTCGCTTTGTTAGCTTCTGCATTTGTCTGGTTCGATGTCATTGCTGATCATTGTTTGTTGGCTACTCTTGATGTTGATTAAGTCCATTGGGCGACAGTTTGCATTCCAACGCCCATTTTAACATTCGCAAAATTTGTTATGATTGAAATTTAGCACAAATCGGTAAATTGTGATTAAAAGCAAATCCTAAATGAATCCAAATACATGAATTAACAACCAATTTATACGCTGCAAGGCAGATAAGTTTATACTATTCTGAAGTTAAAAGCAATGGAGCATAAAAGCGAGATATTAAAATTTGGATTTTTAGTTCAATATTTCTACTACAATATAAGGCAATAGGCTGGGTGACGCATTCAATTTCGAATTGACGCAATTAAATCAACATTATTCCACTTTACATTTCACACATATCCGAACGACACAAACTGCTGAGAGAATGCACAACAAATGCCGATTATAGTATATTTCATAATGATTAAATAATAGGCGAAAGCCAAGGGGGCGAAACCAATTTGTTGCTCACTGCGCGGGTTCTGAGTTTGTTTATGCACTATTTGCAAATACACTCTATTTTTAAAATAAGTGGAATGAATAAGTACATACTGTACTTATGTGTAAACCCTTTTTCGTTCTACTACAGGGTATACCCAAGCCGAACTCTGAGTCATCTTATTGTTGCACTTTTGGATAATGCTGATAGAGCATGTGGCAGTAGGTTGTAGGAAACTAGATTAAATGTCTTTGCGAGCTGAACAATAGAGATAAAGTTCACGCCAGTCACTCACTCACTCTTTCACACACACACATACACAGAGAGGCATTGGCACAGTGAAGGAAGCCCCACATGACTTTGTACGACTTCATTTGGGACTGTGAATTGTTGATGCGAGCAGAGAGCACTCACCGCCAAATCTGTTGGACACGAGGTTAACGTGATCATGTCCAAGTCCTAGTCCACCAAGCAGATCGCTAATGATACTGGCATGGCTACCACCTCCGCCGCCGCCAAGCAGCGGCTGTGACTCGTGATTGTCGCTGCCCGCTTCCGTGGACATGCCCTCGAAGTCGATTTCTGGCACCAGGCAAATATCGTCGGCCTCCTCGTGCGGCAAACGTGTCGTTGTTTTCAGTGGCGATGTTGCGGATGATGTCGTTGCTTGTCCGCGTCGCGTTGGTGTTACAATGTGACTAGTCGGCTGCGACGTCGTTACGCTTACGCTCTCACTGCTCTCTTTGGAGAGTTTGCATTTACCATTGCGTAGGGCGGGTTGCTTGTTGTTCAGTAAAACGTCTTCTTCGTCTTCGCCATCGGCATCAGCGTCGTCGCCGATGTCGTGCAGCATAAGCAAATGGTTTCTTTGCGGTTGCTTTGTGTCACTGGCAAATACATTAACAATTTCACCAATATCGCCGCCAGCGCCATCAAGGTGAGCCACATCATCAGAGATACCAAGATTATTATCAGCATCATTCTCCCCATCATAATTATCATCTTCACCATCATCGTCGTCAACTGATAATAGAATTTGATCGCGATCTCTTTTAGGCTTTCGTTTTGGCCTTCGTTTTCCGCTCGTCACCCTCTCGTTCATGCCAATCGTATTTATCTGTGCATGGAGAAGATGAATTCAGTTTTTGACTTTGCTTTTGTCGATTTGGAACTAGTGAAAATGCTCACCTCGACTTGAGTAGTCAACTGATTGACACCGATTCCATCGTGACCGTTCAGGAGGGGTGCCAGCTGGTTGCTACTCATTGTTGCTGCTGGCTGCTGCTTCACAAAGTCGCCAATGAGGTCCACCTCATCTTCCAGCTGTAGCAAGGGCGCCTCAGACGCTGACGTAGCTCCATTGATCTGAGCGTTATTCATGGCTGCACTCGACAGGCACTTGGGTGTTTGCGTGAGACCGTGTGAAATTTTGGGTGGGGTAGCCACGCGCGACAAATCTCAAAGCGGGAATGTCGCCCGCAGCTCAAAAACGCAGACAGAGCAACAAAGGCGCGCGCTGTTCTCGATGTTTGTGTGCGACTTTTCAAAAGAACTTAAAGAATGTTATCTGCTGGGCGCTACGCCTCTATTATTTATAATTTGCATGTTCTATAATTTAATCTGCAATAGGTTCGTAAGCGTTCTGAATGCCAATTCTACGACTCTGCTTTTTAGCAATTATTGATTGGCTGCTCTAAAGTTTACACATATGTAAATATATATATATATATATATATGTATATATATATATATATATATATATATATATATACTTACATATATATATATCGATTCATTGGCCAGATACGAAAATGATGAGCAACGAGACTGTCCACTTACTAAGAATGCAAACTGTAAAATAAAAATGAAACAGCTGATGAGACTATCCACTTGTGCAATATTGCAAATGTTCTAAATTATTTATTATCGATAGCTAACATATTCCGATAGGTTTGGGTTGCTAAAATAACAACTCAAGTACATATTGTTTTTTATATTTAGAACTTTCAACTTTATTCTTAATTTGTAACACATATTTACATATAATTGATTCAATATTATTGCAATGCAACAGTTTGCCGTAACCTGTTAATGCCATCCAGTACTCTACTAAGCTCCCTTTGCAGATTAGCACTCTCTGCTATCAAATCGATCGTTCTTTTAAATTTATCTACTGCGCTCCGTAAGCTCATTGGGGGCAATACGCTGAACCAATATAAAGGCTCCACGTAACCGTTCTCTTTGTCCACCGGATGTCTCTCTATGCTGATGTCTTCGTTTGCAGCCTTTTTAACTCTGCATAGAGCATTAAACTCTGCACTATTTTCCGCTGGAATTTGTGCGGTCGATAATGAATGACCTCCCTGTTGGAACTTTGTTCGTGCTAGGAGAATCGAGCCATCTGAGCTCGTCCGTTCGATGTCAATACGGCATTTGGTGTGCGCTTCGATTAGATGAATCATATCCAAGTAGAGGGAGTCAAGCAATTCTCCAGCAGCCCTTCTTTCATTTTTCATATTTTCTTCAGACATTGCACTGTTTAATTTTATTGTATACTTAATTCTTATTTATTATAATTTATATAAATTAACAAACTTTATTCAATATGTTATGAAAACAAACAAGCTCTAATCATATGATCGAATACACGCCTGTTCTTGTACAACTTTATCATGGTTGGCAACGTTGTATTTCGCTTATGTTAATGAACAGTGGTATGTTAAGTACGGGCACAAAGTTTACAAATTAAAGGGTAATGTAGCTCAATTTTGAACAAAATTCAATGCAAATGTTTGGAGATATAAGCAAACAAATAATAAAAAAGCTCTGATATATACTATTAATAATGAATGTAATATTTGGGGCTCTTTAAGTATCATTGCTGTGACCTATCAGCTGATGCAACAGATGGAACTGACAAAACTAAAAGCTGAACCATACTGCGCATCTCAACTGTTAACTTCTCATACTGGCTACAGATGCTAAACTACTCTACTAAAGGTGTGTTTGTGTTTCTAATACTTCACTTGTTTCTAACAAGATATTGATAACAGAAAGCCAATAAGAACTAGTTAAAATTAAAATATTAAGTTATTATTACTATTAAAATAAATTCTGATCAAAGACAAACAATACATATATATTTCTTTTAAATTGTGTAGCGAGAGTATATGATCTTCGGTGCAGAGTGTACGCAATGCTGATACATTACTGTAGCAACTGCAGATTAGAGAAAGTTTATAAAAACCCGGTGCAATTAGCATGTAGTAGTTAGTTTAGGTAGTAATCTTAGAAGTACCAGTTGACAATATCGAAAAATTATTAATTTCGCGAGTTGAAACTAACAATCTGTTATTGACGCTTCAACTAGAGTTGGTATACATATTTGAGAAGCTTTCGACAATGTATCATAGCCAGAGTGCGGACGCGGATTTACGTAGTCGAAAATGTGGAAAGTCAATGAACAACAACAACATACAAGGCGACAATGACGACACTGCGTCTTGGTCGGATGAAGTAGCACAGGTGCTGCAAATTTACTAATGTTTAATCTCTGTCTGTTTGTTTTTACCTATACGAAAATCAAATAAGTGCCTCTTACATGAATGACCCACAGTATGACTAAATAATATGCACACTCACGAGCTAGTATTTATATAATGTGATATGAGTTCGCTGTGTAAATTCACAATCATTCAAATTAGAATTTCGGGGATGAGCACAAGATTACATGGATGTGCGTATATACATACGTGTGTGTGTATGCACGAGCACCTGTATATGTATGTATGCGTGGCCCTTGTATATGTATGTATGCGTAAGCACATGTATGTATGTACTGATATGCTTGTGGTTGTTTATCTTATCACATCAATACATGTATAAAAGTCTTATACCTTTTTTCTAATAGGCTAATGACTTTGCTAATCGTTATCTCTTATCAATTATTCAGACAACAAGGCAGCCGTACACAGAACTCCTAACGGAACCAATTCACAATTCCCAATCGGCCGAAATGTCAAGTGAAACAACTGTGGAATCAGCGCTGCATCGAAGTAGTCCTAGTAAAAGTTCCAGTAAGGAGTCAGAAGTGGATGAAGTAGGCGACGACGATATGTGGTGCAATGAACTGCAGCAAAAAGATCTCCTGCTGCCCGAGGTTGAGCCCAAGAAGCAGGAGCTATCAAGGAAATACAGCAATCTGGCCGACATAGCTATACGTCTTATGATTGTATTGGTGTTTTTGTAAGTAGCACGAATAATTGATTAAGTAAACTGAATCATAAATTTGATATCTATTCAATTGGACTTTTAGCAAATTGGAAACGATGCCTGCCTTTAAGCGGGAAATCCACGTGGAGGAACTGTGGCTGTACAAAAATCCAATCCGTCCGGACATCGTTAAGAGCGGCGATCTGCTATTTTTGGTAATTACCGTTCCGTTCGTTCTCACATCATTAGTCTACGCATTTACCAAAGATCGCAGAGATTTTCGTGCTGCCAGCTGGGCGTGGACATTGGCGGTGTGCATGAATAGCATCCCGACGAGTCTCTTGAAGATTACCGTTGGACGACCACGTCCAGACTTCTACTATCGCTGCTTTCCCGACGGTGTTATGGTTCTCAACGAAACTGCCAGCGCATTGGGCAACGCATTACTCGATTTTAATTGCACAGGCAAGCCGAGCATCATCAACGAGGGACGAAAGAGCTTCCCCAGCGGGCATTCATCCTGTAAGTGGGCCAATGCAAATGTATACTCGAAAGTACACTAATCTTCTCCTGAAAATATTTTATAGTTGCCTTTGCCAGCTTTGGATTTGTCACTTACTATGTGGGCGCCAAGCTGCACGCCTTCGATGCACGCGGAAGAGGGCAGACTTGGCGAATGTGCATCGCTGTTATTCCACTTATTGTGGCCTCCTTGGTGGCTGTTAGTCGCACCTGTGACTATCACCATCATTGGCAGGATGTGACAGTGGGTTCACTTATTGGTCTATTCAGTGGATACATCAGTTACAGACAATATTATCCTTCAATATTCGCGAACAACGCGGGCAAACCATATGTACGCTGGCCAAACCTGAAGCAATCGGAGACAGATTCAATAGGAGAGCCAGGCAGCGAAGCATGTAGCTCGCTGCTGGGTAAGCAGACGAGCAAATGGTGTTAGGGCTTTGCAGGAATGTTGCATCGAACAAGTATTGTTAAAGTCGTAAGAAGTACTGGTTGCTTACTAATTGATATGGAACGACTTACGACATAGAAGCTAAACTATTCCTAAAGGTAAATTATACCAGTAAATGTGGGCTTTAATGCACAGCTGTGCGGGAATTTTGTTCAGGTTAGATGTATGTACGTATGAATGTTTGTAGTCGTAGCATAGTGTAGTGGGATATTGTAGCTCAGAATTTAAGCTAAGTAAAAGGCGCGGCATATGCTATTAACTTATCAAAGCAATCAATAATCAATAGCCTAAGCAGTGTACATTGTTAGCTGTTTCTGGCACACGCCTAGTTCAATATTGTAATAAATCACTGGCTAAATAATTACATCACTTATTTCGTTTGCTAAATATTTATTTTAATATTTGTTTTAATTTATGCTTATCCTCCAGCAGCCACATCCGAACAATCTAAAAACAAATTTTATTTACATCGAAATGCGACCAAACCTAGCCTAAAAGTGTTTCTTCTCAATTGATAATGGGCGCAGTGCACTTAACTCATGGAGTTGAAGGCTTGCAAGAGCAATTGCTTTTCACGCTCCTTTTTCTTGACCACATCCAGGCTGCGCTGTCGCCAGGTGCTCTTGCGCAGTTTGATTGGTCGACTGCCTACGTAGCGGCCATCCATCTCTTTCATTGCTTTGATAAAGTCGGCCGGCTCGCGGAAACTGACAAAACCGAATCCCTTGCTCTTGCCGGTTCGTTTGTCTCGCACAACACGTGCCCGTTGAAATGATGGAAACTTGTTAAAAGTGCGCGTGAGTACTTCATCGTTGACATCGTTACCAAGGTCGCCGCAAAAGATGCGGAAATCATCATCCGGCCAATCTGCCAATGAAGCATCTTCCCACACAGTGCCACCGGCAATGCGCACCGTTTTACGATCCTTTTTCTTCCGCTCTGTGGTTTGAAATGATTGCAGAGCCGATGATGCGCGCGCTGCTTTAATAGCTTCCTCTGCAATCGGATTAGGTCCCGATTTTTCTGCCTTGAGCTTCTTGAGTTTCTGCGTAACATCAAACTGTATGGAATTGATGTTGATATCGATTGCGGGCGCCGTGGCCACCGTTGGAACATGAACCGACTGTCGGCATTGGTAGAGCTTTGGAGCGCTGCTAAGTACAACCGGAGTGGCTGATGTTGGCTTCGTTGGTGATGTGGAAGAGCCGTTGCCCGTCGGTACAAATGTGGACATAAATGTGGGCGGTGGTGGTATTGGCGGCGGAGGCACCGTCATTCGCGGCTGATGCTGCTGCAATTTCTGCTGAACGTTGGTGTACGTATTTGCCGCGATTATCGGACGCACTTGATTGGGAACAAAGAGGTTTCGAGCTGGCGGCTTTGAGATCTCTGCTTCAAAGCGTGAGAGCTCATCTTCGATGTTACGACGTTTTGTCCCCATTTCAGAGGTGAAACTTCTAACCAAACGTTTTCAAGTAAAATAATCAAGCTTGAGTACAAATTTTCACGAAAAATGCTTCCCAAATCAGATGTTTCTAGCGACCTTAGAGATGTGACCTATGTCGATTTCGATAGCACAATATTTCTGGTACTTTAGTATTTGAATTTTTTCTTACGATATATTATCTTTGGTATATTAAAATAATAAAACAGGTAACTTTTAGGAAAAATAACAATAATAACAATTATATGCGTTGTTTAAGTCATTGTAAAGCATACACATTTAACGTCGGCTCAAGTATTTAATTAATGGAATGGGCAGCGTGCTGTTAATAACAGGGAAGTAAATGTTAAGTAGTTTGGGTGACCACAGCCAAATAAAACGCGTAGTTAGTGTAAAGTCGGAATGTTTTCTGTGAAATAATACATAATTGAATTAAACAATATAGAATTGAAACTACGCTGCAGCAAGTTTACAACTGTGATAGCAACAAGTATCTAGAGCAAGTTGAGAGTCTAAAAGATCACAATCAAATAAAAGGCGCACACGAACGCACAGACACAGTCACACACCTACACACCCTATTAAGGGGCAAAAACAATTATACATAGTAGAAATAATTAAATAGGCCTACATAATGCCACCAAAAGAACGCAATATAGCCATGATGGGATATCGCTCAGTGGGTAAGTTAATTTGAGTTATACTCCAGCATCAGCACCAGCTCCAGTCTGACTAATCGTTCTGCTGTAGCTGCCGTAGTTATATGGGCAGTGAGTGCGTTTGTGTTGTTCTTGTTGTTGTTGTTGGTAATTGCGTAGTATTTTGACAACAGACACAGACACGGACAACATTGCTAACTATTGAAAAAATTCCTATATAATAATTGCGTTTCACTTGCATTTTAACAGGCAAATCTTCGCTCAGTATACAGTTTGTTGAGGGCCAATTTGTGGACTCTTACGATCCAACCATTGAAAATAGTAAGTCATTTTGTGTACAAAAAGCAGCTGTTTCTTGCAAACGTAAACTTAAACGCAAACGTAAGCAACAGTCGCTTTTCATTTGACAACATTAGTCATAAAAAGCAGTGTGAACACCGCAGTGGATGCTGATGGCATTCAACATTTACGGTCATGTGGTTAAAGCATGCACAAAGAACGTAATTTGATAAACGTTTAATGTGTCCGCGTTGACTTTCATGAAATTACAGCATTCACCAAAATTACGCGTGTGAACTCGCAGGATTATAACATTAAACTGGTCGATACGGCTGGACAAGATGAATACAGCATATTTCCGGTGCAATACAGCATGGACTTTCATGGATATGTTCTCGTGTATTCCATAACCAGTCAAAAATCATTTGAAGTCATCAAAATTATTTATGAAAAGCTTTTAGATGTGATGGGCAAGAAATAGTAAGATATTTTTGTCTTTTTGCTTTGAATTCAGTTTAATTTGATCAATTTTTTGCAGTGTACCTGTGGTCTTAGTAGGCAATAAGACAGATCTGCATCAGGAGCGTACTGTTTCAACAGAAGAGGGCAAAAAACTCGCCGACTGCTGGCGGGCCGCTTTTCTCGAAACATCTGCAAAGCAAAATGAGGTGAGTTCATTGTGATAAGAGTTATTGAATTTATAATTGACCTTTGTGTCTTTGTATTTCTGTAGTCTGTGGGCGATATATTTCATCAGTTACTTATGCTAATTGAGAACGAGAATGGTAACCCTCCCGAGAAAAGCAGCTGTATTGTATCATAAGAACGCGGCAGCTTCTGGATTGTATAATTGATTTTTCTTATAAAAAACAGCTTGGTCCAAGGACAGATGGCAAAATCTACATACTAGTACCTATAAGTTATAAGGGCAAACAAAACCACAAATAAACATCTTAACAAATATGTAAGGATCCAAAATGTTGCCTAGCATCATTTGTGGTGACTACTTAGCAACAAAGCAGGTTAAGTTAGTACACAAATTTTTCAAACCAATAACTGTTCAGTTACAATGCAAGTTATAATGTCTTTAGTTTCAATTTTAATATAATTTTTACAAGTAATAAGTTGTGTGTTTTTTTTTTTTTTAATGGGTATGTAATTGGCTTGTCAAGCTGTAAAAATAAGAATATGATTGAATCATTTAAGAAAAACAAAATATATCTTCACAATAACACAAATTACCTAATATGAATTGAATTTATATATAAGAATTAAAGACTAACATGCAGATACTTATTTGCCAGTTAAATAAATCAAATGCTGAACGAGATCAAGGCTCTAAGGCATAATATATAGTTCAGATATACAATAAAACAATGAATATGGACTTCTTTAATAACAAATAGAAATTTAACAATTAGGTGTAGTAAACGATTGAATAATTAGTGGTTTGGTTAATCGATGAGTCATAATCATGCGTCGATGTATGCGTAACGGTATCAGAAATAAAATTGACCACTTTTTTTAAATCAATAATAAATGATTTTCAATAGCGCAATAGAAGAAATATATAACTATTTTTGCCTTTGGTATTCATTAAACATTACGTCACATTAATGAATAAAGTTTAACAATCCGAATGAATGGAAATTCATTATAAATGGCATGTGGCTATTATATACTATAAATATAAAAAATATACATCAATAGCCGTAACTGTAACGACCGATTAAACAAACCTTATTTATTGACTTATTTCGCTCAGTCCTATCGATTTTTTTTTTTCAAATGACGCGCTTACAAATTCAGTGCTGTAAATTGTTGAAAAATTATTCAATTCGATTTACAGCACTTGTTGTTTACGTTCCGGTTCTGACAACCGCACTTTTTTTTTAATTCTAAAAAATTTTCAAAATGGAATTAAATACGTTGCTACAGCGTGCTGAAAGCCTAACAAAGGATAGCGATGACTGTGCACTGCCCGGCGTGGAAAGAACACTCCAACAGGTCCTGCAAGCCACAGAGCAGCTGCATAGGCGCGTCACCAAGACCGGCACCAAAGAAATTCAAGCGTAAGTTTTTAGCACTCAAATCTGTAAAAATGTGAATCGAAATAGTATTTATTTATCTGCAGTCAAATATTGCTGGGCTCCAAGGGCATTGATCTGCCCAAATTGAATAAAAGGCTCGAGAAACTCACAGCGGGTAAGACTTTCTCGCCCCTCGATGTAGCTGGCGCGGAGACAGATGTTTGCACGTTTCTTAAAAACGAGCGAGAGAATGCAGTTTTGTCCGTTATCGATGATACTAATAAAAATGTAAGTAACTCTTGCCACATGTATATAGATGACTTATAATTGCGCTTTGTACAGATCAGCGACACGGTTGGCAAGCAGAAATGGGAAAATCTAATCAGCTCGTGGAACGAAGAAAAAACACGTTTGCTGGAGGCTTTGATTGGCCCATCGCAGAATTTTATTGACTTACAGCGGCTGCCCGACCAGACAATCTTGCGGCGCGAATGCCTGCCGCTCTCTTGCCTCGATAAAATGGGGCTAATATATGCCAAGGAGCTGTGCGACTACAATGCCCTCGTGCTCAAGGACGAGTCTCGCCCAAATCTAGTGCAGAAATTCGCACAGTTGACCAACACTTTTGGAGATGCGCGTCTCACCGACATGTGGATGCTACTCTCCAACGTGACTCAGGTGGGCGAAGCCCTGTGTAAGGGAGATCCCATCAGTAATCGGCAGCGGCCGGAGTTTGTATTGAACGCCAAACTACACCTGGAGCGACGCTACAGAGTATACATTATTTCACTGGTGAACATGGACACCGATGTCGACAACTATCAATTGGTGCGAGCTTATGTAAATCGTTGCTTCTGCGGACAAGATGTTATCGGCCTGGTGGAGACAACTGGCGGGAGGCCCCTTTGGCCACTTATCTATTATAGCTTGCGCTGCGGAGCCGTTGATACCGCTGTGGATTTTCTTCGCGAAGCTGGCTCCAACTATGATGAATTTGCTCAATTGATTGCAAATCGAAGTGCAGGCGTAGTCAACTCCAAGACAGTGAGTCAATTGAAACTGCAGTACGCCAACAAAATACGCAATTCAACTGATGCTTATAAGAAGGCTGTATATTGCATCCTGCTTGGCTGCGACGTTAACGAGAGTCACGGCGAGGTGGCCAAAACAATTGACGACTTTATCTGGCTTAGACTGTCCATGCTGCATACCGGCGACGCGGCAGATTATGGCCAGTTGCAGAGCTTAATCATAGATAGCTATGGCGAGAAGTACTTCAATGCTTCAGCGCATCCACATCTATATTTCCAAGCGCTAGCGCTTACTGGTCAGTTTGAGGCGGCCATTGAATTCCTGTCCCGTTCTGATGCTTATCGCGTACATGCTGTGCATATGGCTATTGCGCTGCATGAGCTGGGTATGTTGGGTGGCGTGCGTAGCGTTTGCCAACCTCTGCTCATAGTTGATGTATGCGATCCGACTCCGCTTCGTCGACTGAATCTGGCTCGGCTTGTTCGTCTCTATGTGCAGCGCTTTGAGGCAACGGACACTGCCGAAGCACTCCACTACTACTACACACTGCGCAACCTGCACGATCCCAAGGGACGCAACATGTTCCTAAGATGTGTCTGCGACTTGGTCGTTGACAGCGGTGTACTAGACACCACCATATTTGATTTGATATTTGGCCAGCGAAAGCGAGTCCACGAGGTGGAAGATGTGCAGCTAACTAGGTACGTAATAGTAATATCAAAAGAGACTTTCCCTCATTTATGTAATTGAAAGATAATTATTTTAAAAAGTGAATTGTTAGTCGAATTTATTCATAACATTTAAGAATCGTTAGTAATATAACAGCTGGATCCGCAAAAAAAGTGCTTATTATATAATAATATATACTGTATTCATAAATTTATCATTCTCTCCTTTCGCCCACAGAGGCCTGTTTGGACAATTTAGCTGCACAGAGTTCAATTCACGCACAATGGCTGGCCTGGTGGCTGACGAAATGGTGGCGCGCGGAAACTTTGAGATGGCGATACGCCTTTATGACATTGCTGGGAATCTTAATCTGGCCTTAAAGTACACTTCGATACTGCTGGCGCAAGTGGTGCAGCACCGTCCAGCGGAGGGTACACTGCGGTCTCGACTTGGTCTGGAAGTTAAGCGTTTTAGCGACCAGCTGACAGCTGCGCCCTCCTCGGATATTGAGCCTAAGGTGTATGTGAACTTCACATTGTTGCGTGATTTGCTAAAGTTCTTTGACGAATATCACGATGGCAAGCATTGGGCGGCGCTAAAGCAGCTGGAGGCCATACCAAACATAATACCCAATACCCCTAAGGATGTGGACGTGTGTTTGTCAACCGTGAAGCAACTGAGTGGTGATGTTGTCAAAGTCATACCCGATGTCATGGTAGCAGCAATGGACTTGGTGCTCATACAATACCAGCAGGCGAAGTCAGGGGTATCGGGCGGTGCAGCCCAAATGCAACAATTAGATGAGCTTCGGGAGCGCGCCAAGGCGATAACCAATATGTCTGCCAACATGCAGTATTGTCCCACAAATCAGCGTCTCTTGCTGATTGAGCTCCAGATGCAATGATATGAATAAAATCGTAAATGCCACCCGTAGTTCGTGTTTATATTCATTTGAGCAGCATCCATATGTACTCCTCTTCCTCACTATCGTTGTTCTGGTCAAGCAGTTTCTCCAGCAATTTTATCCTTTTTCTCATCGCATCCATTTCTTTCTGCATTTCAGCACACTTGTTATCAGTATTTACACTATTTATGCAGTTTCCTTCACATGGCTGATCAAATGAATCATCGTCTGCATTACTGAATTTGGTGTCAATTTCAGGTTCATTGTCGGCATCATTCTCATAGTTATACTCTTCCATTTCAATCGGATCTTCAATGCTTAAGTCGGGATATGCATCTGGCAAAAGTTTATTGCCATGCAAGAAACGTGCTGAAAAGTGTCTCTGGCATATGTAGTATCCTTTTCTCATGTCACTCAATCCGCAGAGCTTTAACCAGTTGCGTCGTGTGTCCGTTTTCATAGGAAACGCATGCAATATTTCTGGAGGTTTTGAATTGCAGTTTTTAACACAACATTTTCGCAGTAAATCTTTCGGCTTTATTGGTTGATGTAGCTTTTTTGTTGATCCTGCGAATCACAAAATATTGGTTGTGGCGCATGCATTTGAGCTAATTGCTTTAATTACCTGTGCCCAAGTTTAGTGTTGGCACCGCCCAGGAAAATAACCTTTTCTTTCCTCGGCAAGCTGCAGTGAAGTGTCGTTGGCATATTAGGGATCGAGACGACGACAGCATTCGATCTCTAGTAAGACCCAGGTTTTCAAGCCACTTTTGTTTGAGCTCTGGATTTTTGGGAAATCTGTATAAATTGTCAAAATCTTGCAAGCCACTTGCATGACAGTTCATTGCCATACATAGTCTTTTTACTTTGTTGCCCTCCATTCGATACTCAAATTTAATATTTTGGAACATCGCGAACCAAGTTAGCAGTGTTGAGCAATTCAAATTTTGTTGCCTTTATACAGCTGTTCGTCAGCTGGTGGTTTATGATTAGTAATTCCTAAAAAAGGTATTTTGCAAAGAAACATAGCGCTGTCACACTGCAATGTATATCGATAGTTTTCCCTTTATATCTCGAAATGGTAATAAAGTTGTGAGAAGACGCGTAGTATAGTTTGTGCAAGATTAAAATGTTTTCTGTGAAATAAACCAAGTGTAAGTGTCTATTAAATTTAGAGTACGTACAATATAGTCATAATCTAGCTATTGCTAGTTACCAATCGTGCTTCAAAAGAAGCGCAAGGACCTATTAATATGGATGATTTTCGGAATGTCTGTCGCCGCGTACCAATGTCTCTCAAACTGTTTGTAGCGAATACTCATCGATAAATGTAACTCGAAAGTAGTAGTAGTAGTATAATTTCACGCTCTATGTTTAGTACATGTTTACTTACGTACATACGCACATGCTAGCCAAGTAGCAACTTGATATATAAAACAAGGTAAAAGGCAGCCGTAACTCAAAACCAACGACAATCTGAAATGAGTTGTGTGCGTGTGCCGCAATAAAGAACAATAAGAAGCACTAGAGCTTGTGTGCGGTGTGCTGGAGGGTGGTGGTGCATAGTATCTGTTGTGTTGGGCGTGGAACGCACAATTGGCCGTCGTATAAGCATACGTATATATGTTTATGTATGTATGTCTTTTTTGTCCAGCAAACTGACAATCGCTGTCCGAACGCGTCTCGCCAAAGTTAACGAAGCGCGAAATTGAGTTAAAGTGACTTTGCGAGCTGAGCATTTGGATTTTGAAAGGTTGCTCGCATTCACCTGTGTCTACTGTCAGTGTTAGTTAGTGATTAAGGTGTAAGCTTATTTAGTTCCTAAATTTGCCCACGCGAACAACAGCCTCTGTGCTCACTTGCTTCAGTTAATTGTTTACATTGTGCTGGAATTTCTTAAATTGTTGTGATCTATACATATGCACGCACACAGGCAGACGCGATATATGTATGCATGGCTGTGTGTGTATATTTTCAATTGGATCATTAATATTAATATGGCGCGCATTTCAACGATTTCAATTGGCATTTGTGTTTTGCGTATGGATTAACAGATTCCATAAATATTTTCAGCTTTTGATTTGAATATTGACACAGGCTGCTCGCAATGATGGAATAAACGCCTGCTGTGGGGAGAAGCGACTTATCAGCATCATGTCATTGCAGCCGCAGCCGCAGCAGCCGCCGCCGACAGTTGCAAGCGGCAGCGCGTCGGGCAACCATCAATTGCTGCGCCCCCAAACTCTGGCCGCCCCGGAGCGTGAGCCCGTTGAGTTTAACATCAATTTGGTGGGAGCACCGCCCGAAGTGGAACAGCTGGTTCAGCAAATTAAATGCGTTGCCGAGCAGTTTTTATATCACTGGAAGAGTTTTCCGATTGGTAAGCGGAGAGCCAAATGTGTTTTGTTAACAAGTGTTGACTGAGTTTTTATTTCATTTTGTTTTGTTTTTACAGTTCTGCCCGAACCATTGGCAACCAGTACGCTTAATGTAACGGCCAGTAATGCGACAAACAGTGTGAGCGGTCGCAGAAAGCGTCCCATTAATCAGAGTGACCTATTTATAGCGCCGCCCTTTGATGAATTGGATGCTGTTGCCTCCGATGGCAGCGGCGAGCCGCGTCGCCTCACAAATGCACAATTGAAAAGTTTGCGCGAAACTGGGTGAGTTTGGGGTCGCATGCATGCATGCACATAAAACGAAAAAAAAAAAAAAAATCAAGAGCTGCGTCTACAAGGAGTTAATAATGATAATGACGATGATGCAGCCAAGCTGAAAATGTGATGATTTTTCAATAAAGCGCACGAGCATAAATAATGTCGGCGCGATATGATGATAAACATTAAGTCCTAACTCGATAACATTCAAATAAAATAACGTTGCACGGATATATATATATATATATATATATATATATATATAACATCCCGCTGCTAAGCTTAGCAGAAAAATTGCACCGATGTGCGGAGCTATTCAATATTTGTTTTATGCAAATGCTTAGACAACTTGCAAATCATTTGTCACCTTGCGCACGCACATGCAGCTGTCAAAAAATAAGAAGCAAAAGCAACAAGCCAATCAGAAGCATGTTAAAAAGTCTTTGGGGCGAAAGAGAAAATTGTTTTATTTTTTTTTTTGCGGTTCAGTTTTGTTTTACGTTTATTGCATGCTTCACTATTTTAAGCTTTGAAACAACGTTAGCATTAACATTACGTCAAAATGCGCAAATATGTGTCTGTACGTAACTGCATACAGTTACAATTAACGTAAACAAAATGTTTGTATGTGAAATATTCCTGTAAAGCTTGCAAAAGGATAAATATGGAAAGCCGAAGAAATTAACTTTGGAACAATTGGAAACAATACGTAAAAATGGGTAAATAAACAATAAGCAACGAACTACAAAAATAAAAAATAAAAACAAATTAAAACCGAAATAAATGTTTTGCGTGTTTGCCATAATGCATATCAAATTGTTTAGTCAGTGTATCATATTTTGTACCTATTGTATACATTTACATGCATATAGTGTTATAATTTTTTCGAGCCTCAACATACATAAATTATGCGTGGTACTTTGTTTCCTATGTTTATAAATATCCATTCATAAATAACGCTACGCTAAATTTATGCATGCATTTAAAACGAATTAAAAATTCGCAACAACAAAAAATCTTCAGACAAAACGAATGTAAAAAATAAATCTTTTGGCAGCTTCCATTAGTCTTATTGCCTACATTTTCAAAAGTTTAGATATTGTAAAGTTTCTTGAATTTAATAAAGTTAACAGACTTGCCACAACTTAAAAACTAGATTTTAAGTTTTTAATATAGAATATCAAATAATACTTCTGATATATATGTATATATTTATTATTGTTCTTTGATTAGTCAATTAGTACTGAAATATCAATATGGGTTTAATTTCTTGATATTCTGATTTAGCATTAAAATAGGGAACACACACAAATCTTTTCACTAGCACACAAACTCATTTTAAGTGTAACTAATTTAATAAATTTTATTTTTGTCACGTGAATTCGATAAAACAAAATTAAGAATCTGGCCCACGCTTAAGCATGCCTATAATTTTTCATTTAATTTTGTCTCGCATCACTGTGTTGTGCCCATATGTGTGTTACCTGTTGCTGTCATGAATCCTATCAAGTGTCTAAAATATTTGAATTTGCTTTCACAGTGAATTCGACGTTCCCAGTTTGCATTTTACTGGCCAGGTCCACAAGTGGCGTCTCTCCCAGCTCCTGCAAAAGGGCACCCTGCGCGCCCATGATTCCTTCTTGAGCGACTTGGCGTTGGCAGCACGCTTCGTAGTTGTCACAGCCCGGGCCCGCATCTTCTCCCACTTTTTTTCTGTGGTGCATGCAATGCATGCTCTGCTGAACGCACTCATCAGACTGGTAGACATGTTTATCGGTGTGCCCGCATTGCTGGCCCACAATCTGGACTACAAGATTAAGGAGGAGCGTTGCCGCTTCCTTATAGCTGAGCTGGTGTGTCGGGTGAGTGAATTACTTATTCAGTATTTATTACTCTCTTATACTTCCCAATCATTCTGGAGAGTTTATAAGAATACATGTAAATTTATTTTGCTTTGCAGCCGGAGTATGAAGACTGTCTAGATGGCCTCTGCTCGTATGTGCGAAAAATGCTACGTCGAGCAACCATGGAAAAGTTCGATTTCAACAGCTGCGAGGTGACACAGCCGGTGCCATACCTGTTTCTGACACCTAAAGGCCAAGAGATCGATCTGCGCCTATTTTGCCGGGATATAATGCGTAAAGCACTTCCCATACTAGTGGGCATATTGGAGCGCGAGACACGAGGTTGGTTTTTGCACTTCCGCGAACGCTTGATTGCAGAGCTGCGCGCTAAGAAACTTAATGACAAGGAAATCGAGGAGGAAGTTAACGATGCAGTCATGAAGGAATACCTGCAGCGTGTTTATAGCTCCATCATGTCGAATGCCAAGCTGGCCGAACTGGGTAACGGCGTGCCACAGTTACTGGTGGATCAGGCCCAGTCGGTCGTTATTATGTACAAGGCCGTTGACAAGGTGCAACAGGATATCAAGCGAACTCGCGAAGAGCACCAGAAGTGCCTGGCCAACGATCATTCTGTACTGTCCCGCGTGGCGCCCTGGCTTCGCTCCAAGCTGCGACATGCAGAGCAGCACAAGCTGTACAAATGCGCCTGGTCGGCGCACGAGGAAGCACTGAAGATGTGTAGTCAGCACAATCTACAGCAGACTGCCTACTTTCTGTCTCGCGATTTGGCTTTCATGAAAGAGCGTGAGCCAGTGCTGCTGAAAGAGCTGAAGAATGCCAAGACGCCTACGCGCAGTTTCCAATGGGCGTGTCGTATCTGGTCGCCACAGGCGTGGATCATCAGGCGCAATTTTCAGGGACAATCGGATGTAATCCCCACGGTCATCAGCCAGCAGGCCACATCGATAGTCACGCCACGCTCAGATCCTAGCCAGCCTGTATTTCTGGTTGAGAAGGAAATGATACGCACCACCAGCACGCGTTGGCCCTTTTGGCGTTTGCTGAATCTGCTGCAACGCACCTGGTGCTGGACTTGGAACATGATGTTTTTGCTCGGAATTCTTGTGCCCTGGTGCAGTCCGCTTGGATTGCGTGCGCTCTTCTGCATTAAGCCCTTCATGCCTGACCTGGAACTGTCTCAAATCAATGGCACCCTGTTTCCGCGCAAAACCAGCATCACACAGACCCTGGCTTCGCGGCTTATCGAACTCTGGCGACACATATCAAAATCGCGCACTCATTTCGAAACTGAACCTGACACAGGTAAGAATATGTTTTAATTGATATCAAAATGATTTTTACCTCCTACCTTTATTATAATATTTGTTTATTATAAGGTTATATACTTTTTAGCTATGAAAATTCTTAGAACTTAGAGCTTTTCGGCTTTTAGCTGACGTCATTACGTTTTTATTACCTATTAATCTCCTTTTAACTGCCCATTTTAATTTATTTTATTTATAAACTGACTCATGCAACATTTTACCAAATTCAGGTTTCATTGGCAAGGGCTTGACACGCAATTTGAACCGCACTTGGAATTACTTCGTGAAAGGATTTCTGGGCACCATTGTAATTCTATTCGCATTCCCGATAATTTGCCTGGCGACCTGTTTGCTCAGCATTGGTTTGGCATTGACTGCACCTCTGTGGATTCCAGTGTTTGTGCTACTGTTGCACATTTACATGATATTAATTTATGACCTCGATGCACCGGACAACACTCAAAATCGTTACTGCATTCTGCTGGAGGTGCTCATATGGAACTTTTTGATCCAGGGTCTCCTGCAGCCGCTGGTGGCGATTTTGGTGGCTACGTTGCTTTGCCCGCTCGCGGCCGGTGTCGTTTTAATAGGTAAATATACTAAATCTCATAATGGCTTCACTATTATTCACTATTTATTTATAACCTTTCAGTTGGTGTTGTGCGTTATACACTGCGGCTGCTCTGGGATTCTGTGACGTTCCATTTGTTCATCAAGAAGTGCGGACGCGTGCCCGCATCGGATAGCATTGCTGTAAAGCGGATCGCTGGACCCGGCTTGGCCTTGGACTATTACTTTATCATACGGCCGGAACAGGCGTTGGCAGCACTAGAGGCTAAAATGGAACTGGACGAACTGCAGGCCTATCAGCATGCTACCGAGCGTGTAATATTGCAGCCGCAGCAGGATTTTCTGCAATTCGTCGAAGCCTGTTTTGGCCCCTTTTCGGCGCAGTTGTCGAAAACTGGTCCATATTTAGCACTCGATCGCGAGGCACAAGACCTAATGAGCTCGCTACATGAAAAGCTGGAGAAACGGCGCAGGGAGCTGCAAACCAGCCTAAGCACTCAGGTTAAGTCGCGGATTAAGCTGAACACCAAAGAATTGAAGGTACAGTTAGAATAATTAGTTATGCACTACTTACATACTGTAATTAATTTGGGTTGTTTATATTTTCAGATTGTCATACAACTGGCCGCCCATTTACTCGAAAAATACTATCCGTCTCATGTAGTTGGTAGGCTGTCGATTAGTGAAGAAGAATTTTGGGACAACAAAGTAAGAACTGAGCAAGAAATCATTGACTTTATTTTAATGTGAATACTTTAATTTCTGTATGGTTCTCTTGCAGGGTCTCTCGGTTAACGACTGGCCAGGTCTCGCGGGTCTCATATATACCGAAATATTTAGTTTAGATTTTCTAACGCCATTGACTGAAAACGATACGCATTTTAAATTAGAACCACATGCCTCGCTTGATTTAATGCGCTATACGGAGATGGTGAAGAATGCCAACGATGTGATCGGTTCCAAAGGGCTGGATTTGCTGGGCAATGTGTATGCACCTCGCGGCAATGTCCAGGTGCATTTACCATTCCTCGAAGTGACCGCATTTAATCCGCGTTCACGCATCACGTTGACTTTCCGCAAACCCGAGAAGCGGTAAGTGCTATACTACTATCATACATTTTAAAGGTATTTATTATTTTATTTATATATTGCAGTGACATGTCCGTGGGTCTCACAACGCCACGAGTGCGCGCCCATCGTGCTCAGCACGTGCCGAAAACAACGCCAGAAGCCCAACGGCCTTGGCGGCCATGGAAACAGAAGAACGGGGAGCGAAGCGTCACGGAGAAACTGTTAATACCGCTGCCAGTGCCTCATCCCGTGCACATTGCCATTGCCATTTATAATCGCGATACAGAGCAGCCCATACCGTTGGACTCGGAGCTCGTCTGGGAGATACTCAAGTCTATTGAAGACTGCCAGGGTGGCGATGCGATGGTGTGTGCTTTGAATTCAATATATATATGCGTTTCGTAATTGAATACCTTTCTTGGCAGGCTGTGCATTCGGTAGCGCGCTATCATGGAGCCGTCCTGGAGTCTAGCAATGATTCGCTTGCCAGCAGCAGTAGCATTGGCAGCACGCGCGAATCTGGTTCTGGCTCTGTGTCTGGCTCAGCCTTAGGCAACGGCACAGAAACTTTGCCTTGTGGAAATCGTGAGGTGCGTTGATTCCTGAATATATTTGTCTACGAAACTAATTTTTCCATATACCGTGCAGGTTTGCACTCAGGTAAAAGTTGATGCTACGCCTGCACCCAATGCATCTGGCTTTCACTGGACCTTGAGCAATTGGGGTGCAGCGCAGACGGCGCGCCGACGCACCAATTCCAACGTGCGCGTTGATTTGGCCAGTCCCGAGGATATATCGCTGGATACGGACAGCTCGCGTGCTGTGTTTAACAATGCATACGGCACTACAGTGTAATAGCTTCAAATTAATTTGGGCACATAGTATATATATATATATATATAATATATACATGATATATATAAATATATCTATATATACATATACATATATATATTAGATATACAAATACGATTATGTATAGATTCAGATGCAGTTTTTACAAACAAGAAAGGAACATTCAAATTATTTGCATTATCCAGTTAGGCATTTGTATATGGCACGCATAGCAAGTGACATTTCGCGAATTAGTAGCTTTATATAAATAAATTTGATTCATGAAAAAAGGCTATGAAAGGCAGCAGGTCACTGATGGATGTCTGTTTGCTGGGGCTCGATTCAGCCATTGCAGTTAAATGCTAGTTAAAATATAATATGGACAAGTGTATCCATATACAAAATATATATCTATGTTTACATATGCGTATATAATATACATACATAAATGAGTTGTTAGCATATAAACTTATACATCTATATATACATATACATATATATACATTGCAAACACACAAAGCAACCAACTTAAATCTAGTCGCCAGCATCTTTTATGCAGCAATTTAACTCAAACTTTTCTTATGCATCTAATTAAAAATACTAAATAGCGAACGCTTCATATGTATGGCTTCGATGACAATTTTACACCAATTCTAGTTTATATAATAGTTTATATTTTCATTCGAATATTCACAGTTCAACTAACAACGCACTGTGGTCCATTAGTATATTCCATCGGAATTTCATGATTATTATTGATAATTGCCATTTTTGTAGAATGCTTGAATTTTTTATTCAACTTTAATATTCTTCACTCATTTGCATGAAACGTAAAAGTTATTATTGCAGCAGCTCATGCTGTGAGCAAAACATTAATTCGAATCACTTAAAAAAAACCTTAATATTTAAACGCAATTAGTTGATGGTTTCAAAGATAGATTTTTCGATAACATGCCGCTCGACCGACCATACATTATTAAGCAATATATACAGTATCTACCGGCTTTTTTGAAAGCAGCTGAATTGTTAATCGACTCCTTATAGAGTAGATAGGTGTTTTTTGTTAGCAATCAGATTATCATTTGAGACGACAAACTCAATTATATAAGATAAAAATAAGATTGGTAAATAGTAACAGATTCAGGTTGATAATAATGGACTGTGGATGCAAATACAAAAGTGTTCAATTTATGCCTTGTACGATTGAATGTCCATGCCATATTCTATCAATTTTGTAATCCATCAATCAATCAATTACATATTAAACAATGCCAGATTCATGTTAATGCGATTCTTATGCCTACCTACTCTTGAGTTAATTAACAACACAAAAATCATATGAACAAACAAGCATTAAAACAAAAAATATAATATCAGAGTACCATACAATATGAATTTTTACAGGAAACGGTAATTCAATTTTAAAAACAAATTGTAGACGATCATTAGATGATTTTAATGAGTGTGAATTCAAGGGATATAGTATTTAAACCGATGGAAAACGTTCTGGCACACTGTGCAATGGCCATGAGATTTTCTTTGTACCTACAAAATACAAAAATTTAATTTTAGCAATCAAAAATAACAATATATAAATGCCACGAATTGTACTAAACAAAGATTGTTAATTAATATTAAATATTGTATGACAACTAATTTATATAAATTAATATATACATGAAAAAACTATTACTAAACTTAAACCAGCATGTGTATGAAACGTATGTTTTTGCAAATACTACTACTAATACTATTTCTTCTTTGCCTCTTCCATACACTAATACGAATTATAAATGATAGTAATAACAATTAACAAACTAACGTACAACAGCATTAAACAAAAGGCAGTACATTGTAATTTAAAAACTTTTCATATTTATATCTAAATATATATAACGAAAAAATAGAAATCATACTTGTTAAAAAAAAAAAAAAGAAAAAGTATCTGCCGCTTTCCAAGTCAGTTGTATTACCTGTAATACCAATCCTTCCCCCAACGTATAGTACATGTACCCTCCAAGTATTTACCAATTTTTTCCTTTCTTTATAAGATTTATGTTAACTTCAAAGTATTAATTTATAGTACCTACACTTTACACTACTTACTGATTTCAATCATTACTTCAGCAGCTTCCAATACTATATTAGATTGGCAATAACATTTATTATTTATATCTTTGTATATCCACTATCATAACAAATTATGTGTTGGCCCATGATTCAGTTTATATTTCGCGGAATGATTTATATTGATATTAATATATACACAGTTATAAACAAATACAATTTGTAGTGAAAGCATTTGTCAAAAAGAGGTTCCGAAACATTTAAATGGAATATGGGTCAAACGAGCTCTTACAATGATTTTAAGCTAGCATAAATCGAATCAGATCTTTACATACATGCATACAAATATACAAACATACATACATAATTATGTAGTTATACAATTAAAAACATACAAATTAACATAAAAATGAAACGATAATCTCAACAGCGCATTGAACAATTTTATGAAAATGAACAGTAGTTTAATAATTATGTAATAAAAATGTTGGATAAAAAATAATTGTAAATTGTTTTAATTTTAGAGATAATATTCGATGGTAATAACAGTACATACTTACATTTTTACACATTCTTTAAAATTATTTTGGGTTAAAGAAGTGTTTAGAAATTACTTTATTTCAATGAAATCTAGTCTTGCATTATTTTCAATTTTACTTCACTTTATTTTGATTTACTTTATGCATTAAAAGTAGCTTAACATTAAAATAGATTCACTAAGGATAATTAAATGTTAGCTTATAAAAATAATTAACCAACAAAACTCGCATCGAGTACAGGGTAAACAATTCGAAAAGATTAAAACAAGAGAAAGTATAATCACAATAACTAGTTAGTTTTCAATGAAAATGTGATACAATTAAAAAATCCATTTATCATTAGCAATTATTATTACTCTATAAAAGTACAAATTATTGTAGCTGTTAAGTAACATAAAACAGCGCATAAGAACAGTTAAGTAAATTTTTTGAATTCGCTTTGCGATTAAATTTAATTGAAACAGTTAACAGGTATAAAAATGTGTATAGAGATAGGTAGATAGATAGATGTATATATAGATCGGGAAACAACGTCTCTAAATTTGTGAAAATGCGGATCAAGAAATCCACTAAACAACAGTTCAACAGCCCTAAGTTCTCTGAGTGAATTTACTATACGTGTATATATATAAAGGTTTCTAAGAGTGTCCTTATTTCTGTAAGTTTATATTTGATGTTGGTTTTATTTGGAAATGGTCTAGAGTCTTAACTTCTTTAGTGAGCAAACCTTTTGTAGAAAAATCGAATCTAATACAATATTAAGGTATATATCAAAATCAATTAACTATCACATCCACAGTGATAGATAGAATAGTATGGAGCGGAGCAATAAACGTTCTCCTTTCGAGTGCAAATATTATTGGATAATCAACGAAATTGTAAATATGTTCAAGGATGCTGATTCTACGAGATTTTAAAATGTTACAGTGGAATTCGTGTCAATACTTTTACGTTAACAGCATATGTAGTGCATGATCTACACAAGGGAATGTCTAAAACTCAATAAATTTAGTTGACTAGCCCTTCGGCATAGCCTTGACTCATTTTTCCAAATTTATGCCTCACTGAAACGGCAATAGGCAATTAGCTGTAGTGTTGAGCAATCCTAGGCGCTGCTTCTGTTTGCGCTGCTCCGTCATGTGATCTTTGAGCTCGTGTAGCTGCGTCGATAGATTCTTGATTAGGAGTTGCGTTTCCAAGAGCTGTGCCTGCATGCTACGCAGCTCGATCTGCTCGCCATCGGCATCGACTGCAGCCAGCGACATGGCGCGTAACCTTGGGAACCATTCTAAAATGCCAGCCTTAACCATAGCGTATACATAGCTCTCGGGGCCGGTGAACTCTGTGGGATCCTTGACCTTGACCAGCACGATGAAGTACAGATAGTGCCACATATTGTGCTCGCTCTTGATGTGCTCCTCAAAGCTTACTGTCTTGTTGTCGAAGGCTGAACGATTGAGCGAACAGATGAAACAGGTTGTCTTGAGTATAGCCTCTTTTTGCTGCTTTTCCGATCTCAGATCGGCAAATGTATCGATAATGACACCAAAGATCAGGTTCAACACGATAATAATGACAATGAAGAAGAACAGCAGATCATAGATGACGCGCGCCACAAAAAGACCCTCCTGCAAAGAAACGAATTATTGAGGGGGACATCCATTCGGTTTGGAATGCAACTGAATTATTTACCTTGCTCGAAGGTGCTCTTAGAATATCGCCAATGCCCCCACCATTTCGCAGGCCTTGATTTAGTGTCGTTACAATGCACATGACCAATGAGTCACAGGAGCGCTCCTTCACTTCGCCGCTGGCAATGACAGTTGCAGCTCCGTTTTGCTTTGTACTACCCTCACAGCTGCCATGCTCATCTGGCATGGCACAGAACTGCTCCGCCGACGCCGGTACCGATAATGTCAAAGGACCAGCAGTGGACCCGGCTTCCTGTTCTTCATAGTCCACCGGAACGAGAAAATCATCTTTGAAGAACATGTAGCCAATTATGGAGAATAGATAAACCAAAATCAATGCCAGAACGGCGGTCAAAACAATGGAGCGACCGTTACGCGTAACCGAGCGAATCACGTTGACCAGCGTCTCTTCTCGGTAGACAACATCAAACAGCTACGCGGAAGATCTCTTATTAAGTTGATAAACACAATGATAAGGATAAGGATACTTGCCAGCAGTGAGTAGAAGAATGGATGGAATATAAGTCCACAGAAACAAAATGCTATATAAATGCAATGATAGAGCAGCTGAAAGTCGGTGATGATCTTCAGAAAATGCTTCTCTAACGTGCCCTTGTTGCCCATTATGCTCACAATATGCACGCTCTTAAGCGTCACCTGCAAGAACACCAATTGGAGAATTAGAAGCTAACAGCTATGAGTTAGGCAACTACTTACCGTAACGACGCCCAGCAAACAGAGTGTGGATTCTGGCCCAAGTAAAAATATAAAACGAAGAATTACGGAGCCAATGAATGTGCGTATGCCTGACTCACGCGGCAGCGTAATGACTATAACCAGCGAGAATATCAAAATGGCCCAGAATAGCAGGGATATGTGCGAACTGAGCTCTAAAAATATAAAACAAATTTCAATATATATATAACACAATTCGTAACATCACCGTAACATGCACTGTTAACTAGCTGTTAAAGGACTCTGATAGTTCGTTGCGCTATTACATACCTGGTACAGTATTGTCGAAGGGATAGAAGAAAGCCACGATCATATTGATTACCACAACGCAATTGAAAAGTATATTGCTCCATAGCGACATGTAGCTGCTGATCCAGAAGAGCAACGGCTGACCTGTAAGAGAAGCGGTTCTTAGTAAAATATGCGATCCTCAGAATGTAGGACTTACTTCGCAGTTTCTTCTGCCACTTCATTTCGTTAAACATCTCCTCGGCCTTGTCAAAGAAGTCGGCTACTTTGGAGCCCTGATCATCACGCTCCGCAGTATTAAGTATTTTGATTTTCGTGTCTGTTGTCAAGTATTCACAAATTTCAGGTATAGGGAATACGATTTGCTCCAGTGTGCGATCATTGCGAACAATCTGCGAATGAACTCATTATTGTTAATAATAATTGACAATGATGACATTTCGAGCTGTACCTCAATTTGTGCCGTATGTGTTGCGTAGTACATGAGAGCTTGACTTGTTTTCGCGTCGAAGCTGGCCGACTGAGGGTCTTCAGAGGCCTTGAGCAAGGCCGCCAGCTCCTTGTTGTGCTGTGCTAGCTGATGGCAAAGAATGTAAATGTTGTGTCCCACTTCGCGGGGACTGACCGTTGCATCGTCGTCATCGGTGGCGGCACTCGGCTCATCTCCATCATCCTGCTCGTCAATGAGTTCTTCTTGGTGATAGGCCTTGCAGGCCACCTCGACCAGTTGCTTGGGATTCATGTTGTAGAGTATGCGCTCCGCATTCTCGCTGTCGCCACGACTCTCCATGATGGCCAGCAGCAGCTTGGAGGCATTGTTCTTCAGCTCCAGCACCAGATCCATGCGATTCTCCCCCAGCGGATTTATGTTGTTCAATATCAAAGCGGTGATGATATCCAAACCGTTCGACTCATGAGTGGCAATGCAGTTCTGGTTCTCGTGGCACGGCCCCTGGCAGTACTCGGTGAGGGTCTCCAGGGTTTGATTAATTAACGCCACATTGTGCTCATTGATGTAGAGGCCGAGTAGACCCAGGCCGCCCGTGGTAGAGCCGCAGATGCAGTCGAGGAACATGAGTGTTTCGGACACGAGATTATTGTTGGTTTTGTTGTTCTGATTCCGCAGCAGATTCTGCAGATCAGGATTGTGGTTCTCACAAAGCAATTGCAGGAAGCGCAGAATGGGCTGCATGACGAGCACCTTGTTCGACAGCTGGTTGCGCTGCTCCTTGCTGTCCCGATGCTTCTCCAACTTCTCGGCCAGAATGTCCTCCAGCGGGCTATTCACACTGATCGCTGAGCTCTCCTCGCCTGAGTGTATGTTCCGCGCGTTGCCGTAGGCGCGTGCTGTGGCCAGGCCTGCATTGTGCAGCTCCCGTTTGAGCTCGTCCGTGATAACAACTCCATTGCTCTTGAGGCCGTGCTTGCGTGAGATTTTATCTAGCTCCATGTTGGTATCCTGCTTGTGCTCGTGCGCCTTGGCTGCTATATCTGTGGTGTTGACGGAGACCGTCGACTTTATTTCCTGCTGTGCATCCTTCATTTTCTCGAAGAATACCTTGAAGAACGCTTGATTTAGATCGTCGCTGAGAAACTTCTGGAACATGCCCTTCTGTATGATTGGATTTCCACCCTCGAGCAATGCTATGCCCAGCTCCACAGCCTCCACAAAGATGTTGGGTGAATGCACCGATTTAATGACCAGCTCTACTACCAAATCGGAGGCACCCTCGCGATCTAGGTGATTCTGCATTTCGTGCAGCGTCTTGTCCGCACGCGCCAGATACTTGGCACCAGGTCCGTGGGTCACCAAATGCAACTGTTTGGCTGGGTCGGAGGCGGCCGCCGCGGCTATTGCTGCAGCAGCTGCCACGCCCGTCGGTAGTTGCGGGTGCTCCTCCTCCAGCTTTGGAGCACTCTTGCACTGGAAGTAGCGTAGCAGAAGTGTCTGACGTAGAGCGTCTCCCTTTTCGCCATAGTTGACGTCAATAGCCATCATTTCGCGTAGAGTGCGCAACACCTTCACACACATGCGCTCCTCCTTCTCCTCCAGCAACTTCTCTGTGTGCTTGATCAGCTTGCGTATGAAGCCTCCACTCTCGCAGCGCTTACGCGCCTCGGTGCCCGCAGGGAAGAGCAGCTCGGAGCGATAAAGTATGTCGACTAGTAATGACAGCTCTGCCTCGACGACCGGCTTCAGTTGATCCTCCAACAGCGAAACAATGTCCTGCAGTCCCTCAATGATGGACCGATCCCAGCGCATCAGATGAGCCGACTGCTGAGTATCGTACTTGGGCTGCTTGGAGGCCAGCAGCCACTTGGTCGTCTGTCGTGTCAGCATTGCGGTCTTGCTAGACATATTGGTCACCTGCTGTTCCAGCTCCAAGGGCAGCACAATGCTGCGCATCTTGGCTGATTCAGTCAGCGTACGGATGCAGTTCTCCACGTTGAAGCGATCCGCCAATGATAGCCACTTGCATTGAGTCAGCCGGTAAACGGCCTGCAGTAGTTGCACAAAGATCACCTGCCGCGACTGCACTATTGTGCTCTGGTCGGAGAAGGGGCTGGAGAAGAAGCTGCTCAGCAAATTGGTCACACCATTCAGGACATAGGCCAAGAGCGTCTTGTTAGCGGTGGCTGAGCTGTTTGATATCAACTGATTGAGGTCCACCAGGAAACTCTTTTCGAACAGACTCCACATGTGACCGGAGGCATAGATCTCTTTCATCTCCACCTCGGTGTCAATGTAACAATGATTGAGGAAGTCCACATACGCCTCCTTTACCTCGGGAATGCATAACGGATGGCATATAATGGTCACAATGTCGTCCAACGATAGCAGATTATTGCACTTGATCTCCGTGTAGACGTTCTTGCCCATGGTGCAGCAGGCGAGCAGCTTCACCAATTCCACATGATATTTCAGTGGACTGTCGTCGCTGAGCTGTTGACCACGTAGCTGCTGCTGCTGCTGTTGCTGCATCATTTGCACAAAGTGGTGGAACGAGGTCTTGTCGTTGTAGAACACCAGGACATCTTCGCCGGCATTGATGAGCTCCTGCATGACCATGTCCTGACACTTGCGTATGAACTGGTTCTCTGCTTTGACGATTGTCTGCAGGAACTGCAAATAGGCCACATGTCGGCCATGGATCTCGATGCAGTGCACAAAGTGTTGCACCACTTTGTCCGTCACCTCATTGCACAGCGCCAAGTTGTCCTTGAAGATGGCGCAGACTGTCTTCGCCTCGAGAATCTGAATGGAAAAGATCAAGGATTAGCCACAGGTGCTTTCTGAGGAAGGGGGTAGATAATTACGCCTGGATTGAGGAACAAATCAAGATGATTGTGCAGGAGCACTTGATTCTGCTGATTGCCTAGGCAGAAGTTCTGTAGGAATTCATGGGCCAGGCACATAAGCTCCTTCATCAACACATCGTCCTTCTCGTCATAGGGATTCTGTAGCAAATCCAGGACAACTGTGTGCACGCCGACATTGCGAAGCAGGCGCTGCTCGTGCTTGCGCGGCTTGACAACGGGACCTGAAATGAGATGGGCGAGCATGAGTGATATTGAAGGTAAGAATATGAAGAATTTACGCACCATCCGTAACGCAGAACTTGTTCATGCGAATGAGAATCTCTTTGACCTTTTGATATTCGCTGCGTTGCTCTGGCGAGAGGGTGGCATCGTATTCGAGATTATCCGCACCCCCTGCTGCATCCGTGCCACCCAGCTCATCCGTTGCCTTGGCCTTGTACACCCACAGTTCGGACTTCTCCACACTCTGGCGCAATATGTCCAGGTCGGATTTGATCTGCTTGTAGGACTCCACATCACTGTCCGAGACGAGCAATTGCACCTACAATGCAAAAGGAGAAATGTCAGCCGTTAGCCTATCTCAGAGGGGCATCTTCAAGTATTCATACATACAAAATCAAAAGATCTTTCATTACGGTATGCGGAATACGTCCACTTTAGTGTTAGTTCAGTGTATGTTATCAGTGCGTAAGCAGTGTTAGTTGTTAGTCACATACATATGATAAATGCAGTTGATTAAACGGATTAGTGAGGCGAGACATCGAATTCGATTTCAAGAGCGTTGCATGCAAACCCAAGAGAGATGAAGAGTAAAATTGAGAAATTAGAAAGCAACCACAAGGCAATACCAACATCGGAATACCGATTCCATTCAATTCCCCGATACGAACATAAGATATATAATACTATTAAATATATGCAAACAATTGTGTGAAACTATCCAAAGATTACCTACAAACTTTACTCTAAGACAAGCCAACGTAATACAATCTAATGTTAGTTATAGAGCTTACTGATTCTTTAGGCATACGTGATAAATGATTGCACATGCAGACAACTTTAATAAATCAACTAGAACTACTTCAAAATGAGTTACGCAAGTTTATGCTAGGGAATGAGTAAATGGAACAGCAGCTTACCTGCCGGAAGGCTTGCAGCACCTCTTGGCGCTGGCTAAAGTGACGGAAAAGCAGATGCAGGGCACCAGACACAAGTGGTGCATAGTCGTGCATGATTAGGTGCAGCAGGACGCGCAGAAACGTGCGTCCTCCTTGGCCATCCAGATCCAAGTTGGCCGCATCACTGCGCTCGCAGTCGAAGATGCCCTCCGCCTGTATGCCAATGGATTCCAGATCGATATTCTTCTGGCGGGCCGCAGCCGCAGAGGCAGCTGCCGCTGCAGCCATGGCAGCCTCTGCAGCGGCAATTTGCTCTGCGTCAGTGGTGCCAGTGCTGCCAGGTGTGGTCTGCTGGTTCTGCTCCTCATTAGCACCAGGTGGTGGGGCCTGGGTAACCACTTCGGATTCGTCGAACTCGCGCTTGAATATTGAGAGCAGGCAGCTGATCCTATAGTCCAGGCGCACGTCCAAGATGAACTGCAGTATTTCAATGATCTTCAGTTTGGTGTCCATGACCAGCGGATATTCCTTCATCAGTTGCGAGACGGACTTGCGCTGTTGTAGTGCTATGGAGGGCGCTGCAATCGCTTGGCCAACGGAGCCCAACGCCAGCGAAGTCATCACCGTACTCATGTCCCCAATGGAGCGCAGCACGCCACCCTCAGCTGGAAAAGAAACATAAGTTGTGGGATTAATCTACATGTCATATTTAAGGAGCGATTATTTGCAAGCTTACCATCATTCGTCGTCTCCTCTTCGACAGCTTGTCATGGAGAGATCAGAGATAACTTACTCAACTAACTTAATTTAAGAGAATCAGTTTTGGTACTCACAATCAATATCCGTGTTGACGAAGGAGCCTCCGGTTGTCGTCTCGGACACGCAGTCCAGAATGGAGAGCAGAGTCTTCGTTAAGCGCAGCAGGTCGCTGAAGCTGTAGAAGCCAAAATATATCAAGTCCCTGGCCAGTTTAACCACCTGAAGAAGATTCATATAGATAAACGAATGATTCTGCCTATAAGCTCAGATGCCCACCTCAAAGGTCAGCTTGTTCTGCTCCTGATCCGTGAATAGCCACACCTTGGTGGCCACGTTGCACAAATAGTTTTCCACAAAAGCGATAGTTGTGTTGAATTTGGCTCGACAGGCCTGTTTGTTCTGGTCCGGCTGAAGATTCTTGCCATCATAGCTGGGCACGATAAGCACGAATTAGCTAATAATTATCTTTATTAATTATTACAGATACTCACTCCATGATGGACATTTTGGAGGGTATTTCACTCCACAGTCGGGCGTACTTCACGGGCGTGACTGGCTCCTGCGGGTCTCGATCCACATGCAAGTGCAGCATCAGCCGGCAAAACGAGGCACGCAGCTCATAGGGCATCGTTTCATCGGACATGCATCTGCGGGAAAGGAAAGGCTTTAGCAAGAGAATTGTGGAATTCAGTGGAGGAAACTACTTTAATATCAGATCAATATCCAATTGGGGCGACAGCCGATTTAGAGCCAAGTACTGACGATTCAGGCACATGTTCGAGAACAGATTCAACTGATGACGATAGTAGTTCAAAATAGCCGTCTCCTGCTCGCAACCTTCGGCCACGCAGTTGGCCAGATCGGCCATGGAGCGCGATGACTGAAAGCACAACAGAGAATCGCTTTAGATAAGCAAAGGACTGAAGTGAATCTTTCAACACTCACCGGTTGGCCCTTCCATTGCAAATGAATTTCGTACTTCTCGCCCGGCAGCACACTCTCGTCATCGTTAAGACTCGCACTGTCCCATGTGGTCGAGGTGGAGTTAGACTGCACGTCGGAGCGATCCTCGTCATCGCCGGCAACCTCGGTAAGCGTAGAGAGGCACACATCCTCGGAGGCGCCCTTGTAGCAGCGCACTGAGGTGCCGCCACGCAGCGCCTTGACCTGTGTGTCGATCAGAATGTCGACATTCTTATCACTAAGCACGCTCTTGCAGATCAACTCCTGGGTGACGGCGATGGCCTTGCGATTCGAGACGCACAGGTCGGATAGGTAGTCGAGGAAACGAGAGTCCCAGTTGTTCATGTTTTTGCGCACAAGACCCACAAAGGTCTCGATCTCGGCAGCCGTAATGTGCTTCTCCAGCAGCTTGCGATTGTTGTGCAGCAGTGCGGTGATTGTGTCCTCAGCCAGGATATCATAGCCGATCTGCTTCTGCATCAGACCAAAGTGCTTGGCAATGTACTCCTGGTTTTTGCGATAGTCCTGCTGCGAGAGCCGCAAAATGCGATAGCAGAGCCGGAAGATATTCTTGTAGGGGGCATTCTTGGGGTCGCTCAGCTCGTCCAGCCGCAGGAATGGTCCATCGCCAGCGCTGTGCTCCTGAAAGGGTCCCTGCAATATTTTGAACAGCTGCTTTAGGATATACTGCTCGCGCAGCAGCTTCTGTCGATCGCGTATGGGATTCTTGATGGTAAACTCGAGCGCCTTAGTCTTGTTCTGCTCATTCTCCATGCCGGCTATGAAGTACACAATGTCTTGCAGCAGCGAGATCAGAGCTCGCCGCTCATTGATCGATATGCTGCCGTTATCTAGCTTGCTGGTCACCATGGCCAGCACCTTGCACGCATCGTTGGCAAAGTCTAGATCACGAACTTCGACAGGCGAGACGGGTATCAGTGCAAAAGCCTCCTTGTCCTCCTTGATGGGCGAGCAGCACACCTTAGACATGACCGGCTTATCGTCATCCGCATCGATGGGTATCGACGTAGCGTGCACCCAGGTGTTGGAGCAAATGTGCTGCAGTCTCACATAACTGGACTGCGGCACTAAGCTATCCGGCCGAGCCATGGTCGTAGCGTCCAGCACAAACACAGAGGCTATATCAGCCGAATATGGCACTGAGACTAGGCGATACAGTTTGCCCTTCGGTTTGTCTGGGGAAAGGCGAATGAGATTAGTTCAACATATTTATGCAAGTCCTGCGGAACTTACCATTCAAAGTGGAGTTCATTGTAGAGCTGAGGCCCGAGTCCTTGCTGCAGTCGCCCAACAAAGACTCGTGGCCGTTTGCAGCGCTCGTCCCAGCAACCACATCGGACTCGGCTTCGGCAGCCAGATAGTGGCCCGTGGCTAAATGCTTGAAGCGGTACAAGGAATTCCAATCGCCGGCACCGCCACGACATGAGTCGTGTTGCACCACCTCAATCTCCCAGAGCGCTTTGCTGCTGGTCGCCGCAGTGGCGCTGGTGCGGCCCGTGGTGCGTAGGAAGACATGGTACTGTTTCTTGTACTCATCCATGGTTAGAAACTTTTCCTGCTCGGCATGAAAGAGACGCACCACGTCGCCACCCTTGAGTATATGTTCCTGGTTCTCTTTGTGCTCCATGAACAGCGAGATTTTCCACGACGTTGATGAATTCAGTACGTTGACCTCCTTGCAGCCGGGATTATCGGGCAGCTCATAGTTTGCGGCCACGTGCAAGTTCTGCTGATCGGCATTCACCGGACTGAGGATCACCTTGTCACCCACCACAACGTAGTCGCCAATGGAGCGCAGCTTGTAGAACGGCTTGATGTAAAACCAAGAGCCCTCATTGCCATTCGCATCCAAATACACACGCATCGCGTTCTTCTCCAGCAGCGACGGCAAACGCTTGTTAACGGTCAGATATTTGTTCGACTTCAAGTGGAGCAGCTGCACCACGGCGCGGCCGTACTGTATGAATGTGCCCAGCAGCTTCTTGTTCTCCGTTTCATTCTGCTTCTTCTCGATTTCAGCGGCGTGCTAGCATACAAGATAGAGAGAGAGATAGATGTTAAAAGTCTGAGTAGAAGCAACAATTCCATGGAGCTTACATGCAAACGCTTCAGCAGATTGGGATCTGTGTTGGAGCTGGCCGACTGTTTGGCTGCCTTCCAGAACTGCTTTTGAGCAGAGTAACGGTTCATGGGACATATTTTGATAAGGCAATCTGTAAAGCGAGCATATATTACGTTATGAAGCATGTCGATAGATCATTTGGCAGCTGCTGCTTACCTCTAAACTTCTTGGGCGGGCAACTCAAGTCTCCGGCCTCGGGGCATACGACGGTTCGATCGTCCACCAGACTAAATGAAATCAAAGTCAATTAGCAATCAAATTATACAAGCGCACTTATGCAAAAATTGAATAAATGTAACTAATAACTTTCTAAATTAAATCATATATCAATTAGTGTGCGTCAATTAGTATATTGACATGGCAGGGAGGGGAAAGCTCTTAAGTTGTCGTGCAACAGTTGACTAGGCACTTCAGACATCTTAAATGCCTTTGAAGAGCGAGTGCAGTTAGTTCTGTGTGAATGTGTATGTGCATATGAGTGTTGGTGTGAGTGCGAGTGCAACGAGTATTCTACAAGCATGTGACAAATGGTACTCACCCGAGTGTGCTCAAGAAGCCGCAAACGCTGCCCTCCGCATAGAGGGAAACAATGTCGCCCAAGTGAAGGAAGCTCGCCGAGCCAATTATATTGTCGCCCATGTTGCTGCGTGTGGGCCGAAGCAGCGTATCCTACTGGTGTGTGTGTGGGCGAATGAATGTATGAATGTGTGGGTGTGTGTTTGTTTGTGTGGGTGTGTGGGGATTGACGGTGGGGGGTATCCGCCTGCTCTCTAGGACTTTGCTCTTGTCTCTCTCTCTTTTGTCTGTGGCCGGTTATGCGAGTTAATTGCAAAGATTTGTCGCTGTCCTTGTTGTCGCAGCGTGTCCTGTGGGTAAATAAAAAAAAAAAAACAAACACATGTATACATATATGCACATTAGCAACTATAATAGCTGTAAGAAATCACACGAGTGCTGTTTACTCTAATTACATTACACAATCCAGCCATCTATTATTAGTTATCAAGTTATCGCTATCTGCAGCGTTGCTGCCATTGACCTACAGAGCGCACCACACAAACCTAAACCACTTTCGGCCGTTCCGCGCGTCATGCGTGGCATGTCAAGAGATAATTTATTCATAAATATATAAACAAACCAACCACTTTCTCATTTTTCCAATATGGTCACACATAGAACGCTTCACAAGGGACATATACAGAAAGTTTTTCTGGGCTCTTGGGGTTAGTAAAAATCTGAATCTCGCCTTTTATGAGTTTAATATTAATAAATGATTATTCAATTATATCACACCCAACAGTCTGACTAACAAACAGAATGAATAGTTTATAATTTTAGTTCGGCTAACATCTCGTATGCGTACTATATTAATGCAATAATTAAAATAACTTTTCTCTGAATTTTTCTGCCTTTAAATTTTCTAGGAAAATATAATTACAAATGTATCTAAAGAGTTATGGTATGTTAGATAGTATTCAATATTTTTGCACACGTGGCGTATGCTTAATATTGTCTGTGGCTCTATTGAAGCAGTTTTTATTGTGCAACTGTTTTAGTTTACAATTTCATGTTTGCTGTCACTTATTCTAACTATTGTTTTTATTTTCTTGCATTTTATTATTTGTCTCTATTGTTCATAGATAATGGCTTAGATACGATCTAAAAGCTGGGGGTGGAAAAAGTATAATAAAAACCCTTGTTAGCATAGGGAGAGAGCGAATGGGGGAAATGAAACGAGGGAGACAGACAACTGTACAAGTTTTTATGTTTTTTACAAACTTAATGGACAGCATGCCACATTGATTTCTAAAAAAAAAAATAATAATAATAATAACAAAGACTTTCGTCCTTTGCTCAATGTGGTGGAATCTTGAAAGACATTTTATCTGGCAACGTAAGAATCGAGCGGTACTGGAATCTATTTTAAGCGGACTAGCACAAACATATTATCGACGTTTCAGTGTAATCCGCTAATTACAAGATACAACCGAAAGATAAACATTGGCCGCATGCACAACAAATAATCAATAAAATACACGAAATTTCCTGATTTCGATTTGTTGAGTTATTAACTATTAAGCAAGTGATTGCTTTGCTTGGGCCCGGTCAACAGCATTCTGCGATTTTTATTATAGCCACGGACCATAAATTTGAGTAATGCTTAGAATATTCGATGTATGCCATGTGTGTGTTCCCCCATTATATGTTGCGTCTCTCAATGTGCGTGTGTGTGTGTGTCGATGTGTTCATCAACAAGCTACAGCACAAGAATAATAATTAGTTCGCAGAAGTTCAGAGGAATCAGTTGCGCATAATCGACAGTGTCTATTAGCCTGTCATTCACAATGACAGGCAGTTAAAGCTGGATAAGGACTCAATTCCTCTGGGCCTCAGAAATTCCGATTGGGATTTATGCATGTCAATTAGCATAAATCTGTAGCCGGCAGCTTTCCCACATACGCAAACGTTTATTTTATGTTTTTTTTTTTTGCAGCTTCTTCAAAGAGGAAATTAAAAATTCATAATTCTGTGTAGGCAGGCACTGAGGTTGCCCATGGGTGCCCAGGAATGCCAACGTTTTCCGACAGGGGAGCAAACGCTACGGAACTGTTGAAAAGTTTTCATGTCAAACACACACACACACATACACTGACACTCACACACATATACACACATGGAAAGCGAGGACACAGAGAAGCTGCAGCGTGTGGCAGGTTCGGCTGTAAGCCAGCAGGAAAGTGTGGCATGAAACATGCAAGCAATTGTGTTCGGCAGAGGCGATATTTGAATCATGTCAATGTGACAGCTGGCCCAGCTGGAGCACCCGAGGCGCATCATTTAATTCATTCTCACCCACCCACAGACTGCTCGAGATTTCAATGGTTTTTCCGCATGCGATTAAATCATATGTTATCATATATTATACATACTGATGTGCGAAGTTTCGGGCATTTCCCTCTGCAACTGTTAGACAATTAAGGTTAAATTTATTTGGAATCCCATAAAATTAATTAACAACAATTTCAATCAAACAACACGATAATCAAACGATTTCCCACGCATTTCGGTTAGCCAAGTTTATGCTAAATACACATACAATTGTCTATATATATATATATATGTTTTGTATGTGTGTGTGTGTGAGCTGGAAGAATGTATACACATGCCTGTGAGGCAGCAGCCAGGTCATTTATTTGCCTATTTTTTGTTGCTGACTGATGCTGGCAGAGCCATCGCACCACCGCACCATCGCACCACCGCACCACCACAGACACATAGCTCACTTTTCTGGCACGGGCTAGATTTGCCAGGTGTACATTTTCATGCTCGAGGAAAAACCACTTACAAATATCTTCACAAATTATTTTTGCGACAAACGTAAACAAAACACAGCAGCAACAATTGATATAGGTGTTATTTTTTTTTCTTATTTGGACATTTACCTGACGTCGAATATATAACTGGCATCAATAAATAATTTATGATTTGACTGAATATTTAAATTTTCTTCCTCAGATGCTACACGGCGCGACGGACAACGAGAGGCAGCTACAATGCTTCCACGAGCAACATCAACACGTCCGAACCGACGACGGCGACCCACAAAAGGCCAACGCTCAAATGAAAATGCTGGAAAAGCTTGCGTGCCGAGTCGCTCCCAGAAAGCTCAGGCGAGCGCCAGAAGCTTTCCAGCATATAAGGCAGTATGTCGCGGGAGTAGCTTTTTGTGTCTTTCTCTCTCTCTCTCTGTCTCTCTCGCTCTCGCTCTCTCTCTATTTAAGGCAGCTGCTGTGCTGCTGCTCTTATTGTTGTTTTTGTTATCTCAAACTTTTGCTTTCATTCATGTGGGCCCGCGCCCCTCCCACCGCTATTTTTGCACGTTTTACGCATCAGCGCGGCGAATTAGCTTTCTTAGTTGTGCATTAGTTTGGCCTCTCACTTTGTGCATTCGCTTCAATGCTGGCAAGGGGGCGTGCGCAAATTTGATTTGACTTCGACATGGTGGATGACAGTGAAGATTACTTAGCATGCCTAATGCAAATGCAATTGCATTTACCGGGTCAAGGTCGAAATTCACTCAAGACTCTCGCTGCATGTCTTTGTTTGCGTTTTGCTGAGCCTGTTGCTCGAGCTAAAGTATCATTGAGTCTTGGAGCAAAGATTGACAAACCACTCGAAACTAAAGTGAGCGAAAGTGTTCTAGCTCTGCGATTGCAGCTGGCAATTTAAGCCGTCTAGGTCTTTAAGGAAAATCTCTAAGAATTTCCACTACAAACACATATAAAATATATGTATATTTTCCTATGGCTAACATGCCATTGTATGATTGACATAATACGAGTTTTATATTCTATTCCTTAGATATATTAACAATGTTTGCACGGGGCTTAAACGGTAGATAGCTGCGAGAACTTAAATACACATCAAAGTCATTTGATAAGCGATAATGATGTCTGTGCATTGAGTGACCGCGCTTTATACTGTCGCATGATTTCCTGACAAACTTATCGGCCTGTCTATGCACTAAACTAATTAGACAAATTATAACAAATGTAAATTAAAAACCAATCAATTTGAAACTAGATTAAAAAGCACAAGCTGGCACACACACACAGCTGTGCACACGAACTAACTAAAATCTCTCGGCGGCATGCGAGTAAAATACGAATAGCATTTGAGTGCGGCAGAGCACAAAGCAAACGCCACAAGTGGTCGAGCGGCAGCGACTGCGACTGCGACGGCAACGGCGACAGCGACGCAGACAAACGCACGTGCGAAAGGCACAAACAGCTGAGCGAAGAACGAGAAAAGCAAAGCGTAAGACGTAAAAAACAGTAAACAAATTATTGTTTACATATACAAGGCGCAGGCGTAGCGCAGCTTTCTCTAAGCTTCAAAAGCTGTATGTAAAAAAAGCTACTTGGCAACGCGAAAGCTTCTCAGGCAGAGGGAAAACTTTCGTCACTCGAAAAGGGATATTCAGTAGTAAAGCGTCGCGCCAGGCGCAAAGTTGTGACGAACAGCGGCAGCGGCCGAGCCAACGAGCGTTCACTGCTTTAGCCACACGGTGCGTATGGGCAATGGGACGCGAGTGAAGTTTGACAGCCTCCGTTAGGTTGCTCATTGGTTATGCATGTGTGAAATTAAATGCTAGAAATGTGAAATGAGAATTGTGTATAGCTAGTGCTTTTATAAACTTGTAGTCAAACACGACAGCAACACTAAATTAAACACAAGAAATTAAAATCTTTTGTTCAACTCCAAAATTCACATTGAAAGCCACCCAGCTAAAAAAACTCTGGCCCAAGAAGGATAAAAGTTCTATGTGACCGTGCGTGTGCGTCTGGCTGTTGGTGTGTATGAGTGTTAGTATATCTGTGTGTGCGCGCGAGTGTCTGTGTGTGTGTGCAAAAGGAATAGAGAAAGCAAAGCATCCCGTAGGAGTGGCACACATACAAAAGTGTTTGCATAACTTAAGGCGCCCGCTACCCTTGCGCTTATGTATATATGTTGTTTATACATAGATTGTATGTACTAATGACAGTATATAGAGCCAATATAATTTGATTTAAAGCAAGCCCGACCCACGATACACAAGGAGGAGCAACTCTAGCTGGCCTCTCATGTGAAAAACATATACAAAACATCGCAAACACCATCACAAAGTTTGCAGTAATATGCTTTAAAGGCGTGGCTGTTTCTGAAATTCCTCTCGCCTGTCAATGGATCCAGCTAGGACGGCTCAGTGCATTGTTTACAGCGCTGTTGTGGTGACGTTGATTCTCTTATTTGGCTATATTAGCTATCTTATATATATTTACGTTTACGGATATGCCGTAGATGAATTTCGCAGCCGTTTCCTTTCGCTCTGTATGCATTCATTCAATTCTATTATCATAGACACTGAAATCTAAGTATATTTCCTTTATAGTGCTTAATACGACTTTCAAATATACGAACGGCGATAGAGAAATCGGCTCAGAAGAAGCAATTCCTGAAGATCCTGTCCTTTTCTTTGTCGATTGCAAAGAGAAGAAACCATGAAGAATAGCTGTCAATCAACAGTAAAAGCAACATAGGACATTGATTTTTACAATGTGCAATTAACATAAATACTTGAAAATATATATTCATAAAAAATACTATGTGGAAATTAAAATTTATGTGAGACAAACCCGTTTGGGCCGCTTGGAATTATCATTAATTTATTGATTACGAACAATGGCAGTCTGAGCAAAGGCCTTGACGAGTTTCGCTTAATTTCTCAAGCCTTAAATCGTGAAATTTTTAATCTTTATTAATTTCAAACAATTTATATTGAATATACCTTCAGTTTCTATATTTATGCCCTCAAGTTCAAATGCAAATGACAAATTAATTTATACAAAACTTACTATATTTTATAAAAAGTTCTTTGTACTTTACACTCCCAAAGCGATTACAACTTGATAAGCTCAGAAACCCTATTAGCAATAGAGCACAAAAAAAGGGTAATAGAGCCAAGAACTAGAATCAAATCGTACTCTGATTTTGTGGCATCTGTATTGTCCGGTTCCGGATGCCAATAAAGAGCTTAAAGGTTCGATCAAACTAATGGAGGCGCAACGGGAACTAAAACATATGTTAAGCAAGTCGTGTGTGCGAAAATGGTATGAAAAATGGGCGATGAACAGCAGGAAATGCTCTTGTTAAACAAACGTAACGAGATTGTCTGTCAGCAGCTATAGCTAGGAATAATACAATATGTTCATACAAGTTCATTCGATTATCAGTTGATTTTCATTTAGTCTGTGAACTTAGACACCAAATTAGGTCTTATGCAACAATGATAAAAAGCTCTTTAAACTCATAATGTGAAAAAAACACACACATATAGAGGCTTTATCAGAAATCGGTTCGAGCGCAACTGTTTAGCAAAAGGTCCTCGGGTCGCTTCTTGCCGTTATCCTTTGCAGGCTTTATTGGCTTAGACAGCTTTTGTACTGAACGGTAGCACAAGAATGGGGATAAAGGTTAAAGCAACAAGAGCAAAGAGGCGGCTATCAAAGTTTTAGGCATTGATTGAAGCTTTTGTCTGTGCGACACTTTTGGGAATGCTCCCACCTCTGGGCCGCCCATTCTGTCGCTCTTTACATGCTTGTCTGTTTTTCCTCAGCCCCAAGCCAAGTCCCGGTTGCCATAAAACAATTGTCGTTCATGTGGGAAAATTCAATTATGTCAAAGAGAACCCAAATTTGAGCAGCATATCCTGATTGTGTGCAACACGAGTACCAGGATATCCTGCCAATCTGATTGCATCCGCATCATGACCAGACTCAAGACAATGATATTATTCTCCACTTGCAATTGGGTTTAAATTATTTGAACTGCTCGCCAAGCGCTGCCCTGCACCTGATTTATTATATAGCCGTTGCTCGCAATTGCAATTGATGCTCTGGCAAATGTCAGCGAAAATTGAATGCATAAATTACGATTGAATGCTTAAGTAGAGCTAAATTCAAATGCGGATTGAATTTGAGATTTATGCTGAGAACATTATGGCAAAAGACTGAAAAGCTGCAAGAGTGACTTGAATTTACGAGAATTGCAGAGTCGAGCAATGCTGGATTTATACCACATCATAGATTTATTTCAGGTATACAAACGAATATGCCCGCTTTAACCTCAATTTTAATGGGCATAAACACAAAGGTGCATCTCTATGTCAGTTTGAATTACACAAAAGCCACCGCCGACGCCGCGACAGTTGCTGCCAGCTGCAATCAGGTTCAAAATGCAACCCACAAAAGGCACAAACAACGGCAACAGTTACGAAAACAACAACAAATACCAATTAAACAAAATGTGAGCGATGGCACGTTTGCTATATGAAACTGTTCTCCATAATAAACGTCGCGCACAAACAAAGAGAGCGAAAGAGCATTTTATGCCAGAAAGAGCCTGAAATGAAAAAAGTAGCGAAAATTCTGGGGATATACTTAGTAGTGAGTCAGTCAACGAGACTTACGAGTCGAAATGCTAAATCAGCTATTTATAGCAGATTATTAATTGAGTGAACTACAGAATTACAATGCACAGACTGCATAAAAGAAATATTTGAAACTGCTGATAAAATAGGTCAATTGCGACAAATGTATGTTTTTAGTGTTTAATATGTTATTTATAATTGAGCTTGCATAGTGTAACCTGTATCAACAACTCCGGCTGAATATACAGAGATAAATTCAACGAAAGCTTCGAACGAATTAAGTTCGTATGCGAGGGAACTAAATGCGCTCAGTGCATATTTTATTTATAAGATAAATTGTCGTTTAACTAATTATGTTAATTGAGCATTTCGAAACGATGCTACAGCCCGTCAAAGGTATTTTTATTGCCGCTCAATTGATCTGCAAATTATGCACATAGATATATGTATGTATACTCAGGTAGTTGCACGTGAATGTATACCATAAAAGCACACACATAAACACACACTCGCATATTATATGCACATGTGTGTATCTGTTTGTTAGCTTCATGCATAACTTTAAGAGTTCTCAATGGCTCAGCAGCCATTGATTTTCACTGAAGGTTTAATTGAGTCGTCATCGGCGCTTTACTGCCGTTCAAGCACTCATATATGTGTGTAACTGTGTGCGCGTGCCTGGCTCTGTGTGTGTGTGTGTGTGTGTGTAAATTGCACATGCATTAATAAATATATCAGTGGGTGGGAGCCGTTCAAAAATCTGCACAACGTGTAAAATTTTTTACGGCCCGCAAAAAAATGAAATGCAACGCGTGCTGCGGCAGCTGCATGCGGCGCCATATGCCCTGCCCACTTAACAGCTTCATACCTACATACATACACATACATACATACATACATACATACATGCATACATGTATTGAGCTGCGGCTCCCACTTGAATACGAAAGCTCTTTCTCTTTTTGCTTTCTCACTCTCGCTCGCGGCCTCTCTCTTACTCTCTCTCTCTCCCTCTTTCTCTATCTGCTCAACAATGTGGCGCTTAATTAAGCACGCGTGTGTCTGGCTACCCTCTTTTCATTGCAAAGTGAGAGTGCGAGAGGGCGCCACTGTTGATATTTTTGTTGCCGTTGTTGCTGTTGATGTTGTTGTTGCAGTTATTGTTGTAGTTGCTTGTTTGCAATTGATTCCGAATAGGCAGCGAACGGGTGGTTGAATAATTTGTGATTTGTCTTCAATTATTCAACTTGAAGGGGAACTTGTTTTCTTTTTAGCAATTAACTGCACTGCTATTGTACCGTTATCAAAGGCTTGCCACTTGACCCAGTTGCCAGCGCAGCGCAACGCAGCTCAGCCCTTTTGTATGTAACTGCAACATTGGCTGCGCCCAGCCCATACCGAACAACAGGTGGAACGGGTTTTTCCTATAAGAACTTACATACATACCTATGCACATGCATACACGCATACTTATTTACATGGGCAAGTTTAGTAAAAAGTCGTTTTGTACTTACAATTATCAGTTTAAATCTAAACTGTTTGGCGCTTTAGAGATTCGCTGGCATCAGAATGTTTACACATTGTAATAGCTGATTCATCAGATCGATCTGCGGCACAGCGGTATATACATACATATGTATGTATGTATGAATGTCTATGAATATGGGAGCAACAGCACTCACTCACTGACCGTAAATCGAATAATTTGATTGCAAATTAAATTTTATGGCCACACACACTCGAAATGGCACTTGAAAGAACTCAATATATTTTTCACCTTGAGTACGCGCACTTAACCACAAAAGCGCAAAAGGGGAAGCTGAATAGCAATAGCAGCGGCAGAAGCAGATGCCGAAGCAGAAACAGAAACAAAAACGGCGACCGACCGCATACAATAATAACAATAACAATGTTTGAGCAGCGACGCGCTCGCCGCAGTTACTGTCAATACGTAAAAGTAAACGCAGAACGCAGAAGAGAAGGAACAAAAAAAATACACGCGACTATTCCGCGTACGGCAGCAGAAGAAGGCGAAACATAAAATATACGCTCAGAGCAACGTCAACAATTACGCCCCCGCGCCCACAAGCCGCTGTTGCAGCGGTAGTAACAACGCGACAACGCCAAAAGGCAACTTTTAAGACTCTGGTCGCAGCAGAGGACGACGACGTCAACGTCTGCGTCAGCGCTAACGCAAGCAAACACAATGGACTATTTTCAATTACAATTTTCACACATTTCCATGCATATTTCTGATCACGCCTACATGCGCCACTCAACCTCCTACAAGGCCACACACTTTTCCAATCAATTTACACACAAATCGGTAGCTTAAAGATGATTAAATCCGATCTAAGATTGTGATTATATTATTTTCGTTTAATTCCGTTTGCGTAGTGTTCCGCGATAAGCAAACTCGCGCGGCAAAGCGACACGCGACAACGATGAAGACTGCTCGCAATGAGCAAACAACAAGTGTCAAAAGCATATGATCGTTCGATTTTCAAAAACTCTGGCAATATTATTGGGGCTAACATTAACATATGAGCACTTGGTTCAACGGGTTGGGCAACACTAGTACTACTAGTACTACTATTCGTAGACGATCAACAGAGGCAGCCCCAAGAGGCGGGAAATTTGAAAATAACCTTAAAGCTTTAATCGTCTGACATTTTTATTGCAGAAAATGCTCCGGGCATAGTTAATTTTGGGGGGTGCCACAGTTTTCATCACGCCACACACACATAGCTACATTTCCTCAAAGTTGCAAACAAAAAGCCACTCGCAGCAATATGGCTGCTGCACTCGCTTATCGCTGGCTTTTGTGTGCGGCTGGCATTGTGAATGTGCTGCCGATTGGAGGACAAAGGCATACAGCTTCGGATAATCCCTCAACGTACAATATAGGCGGTGTATTAAGCAGTTCCGAAAGCGAGGAGCACTTTCGCACCACAATAGCGGTAAGCGTGTTTATCTTTTTCATTTGTCCAATAGGATTGTGGATTTGTAATTTTCATATTTCTCCATTCTTCGCCTGCAGCATCTCAATTTCGACCAGCAGTATGTTCCACGCAAAGTCACCTATTACGACAAGACAATACGCATGGATAAGAACCCAATCAAAACGGTGTTTAATGTCTGTGACAAGCTAATTGAGAAGCGAGTAAGTATGAGAGTTCTTACAGCTGAATGAAAATTTGCATGCCGCCTGGCAGCACGCAAATACAATTACCGAACGCCGCTGCCAGTGTTGCCACCCAGCGCTGGGGCCCATTTTACCTTTCATTTTAATAATTCAAACGGAAATGAATCGGAAATGAGGCGATGACAAACGGTAATTTGCCTGTGCATATCACATACACTCATTTTGTTCGTTGGCTCGTTCGCCCGATTGCGTTTGCCTTTTTGCCTTTTGCCTCTCCTTAAGATGGACGTGCCCTAAATGGAATCCAATGAGACAGCCATATATTAAACGGTCTGCCAAGATACATATATGTTTCGTTCCTATGAAACAAACTACTCGGTGCGATTTATGGGCTAAGCCACATAAAAATCTTATATCTGAGAAAGATTTCCGTTCAACAGCCTTAAATTAACTCTGTTTGGAGTATTTTAAGGATACACTCAGTGTCCATTAATCATAAAAAACTCAGCTGCGCACGCTATTCGAATCGATTTTGAATTGGGTGTTTGGATGCTCAACGCGCAATTGTCATTTATCATGAAATTTGAACATTTGATCCATACATTAGATACCCGGGAGTACAAATCACAGTCAGGTCTCGAGCGGGGTATCTGGTTGCTGCTGCCAACAAATGATGCACATCTATTTTGGTAGTCAATTGCAGGTCCTGATGACGCCCAATTCGATTTACACTTCCGTTTGTCTAGCGATTGCCTCTGGCTGCTCTTTCCGGTTCCTTGCTTCCTTATTTCCCCCTTTGCCCTTCTTACCGATTGCCTTCTGCATTGCTCATTTCCATTGATTTTGTATCGCTTGGGCAGGTGTACGCCGTCGTCGTTTCGCATGGGCAAACCTCAGGCGATTTGTCACCGGCAGCTGTGAGCTATACAACCGGCTTCTATTCGATACCAGTCATTGGCATATCCTCGCGGGATGCGGCCTTTTCCGACAAGAATATCCATGTCTCATTTCTGCGCACCGTGCCCCCCTATTACCATCAGGCGGATGTTTGGCTCGAAATGCTCAGTCACTTTTTGTACACCAAGGTAAGCGGTTGATTGGCCCAAGTTATGACACGTTGACTCACTGAATTGTCATTGCCATCGACAGGTAATCATCATTCACAGCTCCGACACGGACGGACGCGCTATTCTGGGCCGTTTCCAGACCACCTCGCAGACCTACTACGACGATGTCGATGCGCGTGCGACAGTCGAATTGATTGTGGAGTTCGAGCCGAAACTGGAGAGTTTTACCGAGCACCTGATAGACATGAAGACTGCACAGTCTCGGGTCTATCTCGTCTATGCCAGGTAAAAAAGATGCTTAGTTAAGGAAACCATTTCATCCGTTTGAATTGTTGCCTAGAAGTATGCCACATTTTATATATAGATAATTCTTATGTACTTGGTATTATTAAATACGAATATTAAATAGTTTTTATTTTTTAATTATTTCTTGGCCTATTAAAAGTTTTTCAGATTTGACCTTAGTGAAAGCCTCATTTCCTATTAAATTCTTATTTAAATTTCAATCATCTACATCTAACTTCAACTCAGCTTATTGCAAGCGTAGCCATTATGTCCATATCCCTAGGCACATTAAGATTCTTGTATTATTGTATTCTATATATGTACGCAGCACCGAGGACGCTCAAGTGATATTCCGCGATGCTGCTGAATACAACATGACTGGCGAGGGACATGTGTGGATTGTGACGGAGCAGGCGCTGCATGCAAAGAATACGCCGGACGGAGCGCTCGGCCTGCAGCTGGAGCACGCCCACAGTGACAAGGGGCACATTAGGGTAAGTGGAGTGTGGGCAAGGGAGCTCGGCCGAATAGTTGAATTATTCATTACTCTTGTCGCCGAATTGCTGGGTTGCAGGACAGCGTATATGTGCTGGCCTCGGCTATTAAGGAGATGATTTCGAACGAGACTATAGCAGAGGCGCCCAAGGACTGCGGCGATTCGGCTGTCAACTGGGAATCAGGTGGGTATTAAGCACATGGCACACCACTCGTGAAAGTCCATTAATGCATCATTAAACGCGCCTCGCAGGCAAACGACTCTTTCAGTACCTGAAGTCGCGAAATATCACGGGAGAAACGGGTCAAGTGGCATTCGATGACAACGGGGATCGGATTTATGCTGGCTACGATGTGATCAACATACGGGACCACCAGAAGCAGCACATTGTGGGCAAGTTCAGCTACGATAGCGTGAGTGAATCTATTATTCCGACTAGGACATTGATCGCCTAAGACTCCCAACCATTCCAATTCAGTTGAAGGCGAAAATGATAATGCGCATCAATGACAGCGAGATCATTTGGGGCGGCAAACAGAGGCGCAAGCCGGAGGGCATTATGATTCCTACACACCTCAAGGTGCTGACCATCGAGGAGAAACCGTTCGTCTATGTCCGGCGCATGGGCGACGACGAGTTCCGTTGCGAGCCCGACGAACGGCCCTGTCCGCTGTTCAATGCCAGCGATGCGACAGGTAAACGCCATCATAATCCTCTCCAGCCGTACGCTTGCTGAACCTTCTGTTACGCTTGCAGCCAATGAGTTTTGCTGTCGCGGCTACTGCATTGACCTGCTGATTGAGCTCTCCAAGCGCATCAACTTCACCTATGACCTGGCCCTGTCGCCGGATGGCCAATTCGGACACTACATCTTAAAGAACAACACTGGCGCCATGACGCTGCGCAAGGAGTGGACGGGTCTGATTGGGGAGCTGGTCAATGAACGTGCCGAGTAAGCTCAAGCGCCTACGCTCAGAGAAAAACATGTGTAGCAACAAGAATTACATCCTATAATGAAGATATATTCCCCATACAAAGTTTATATATTATTTCTCTGAGTGTAGTTTCTTTTGTACCACTCCACTTTAATGAACAGAATTTACTTTGTGATTTCTATATTTTTAGCATGATCGTCGCACCACTAACCATAAATCCGGAGCGTGCTGAGTATATCGAATTCTCGAAACCATTCAAATACCAAGGCATTACAATACTCGAGAAGAAACCGTCCCGATCGAGTACTCTTGTGTCTTTCTTGCAGCCATTTAGTAACACGCTATGGATCTTGGTAATGGTGTCGGTTCATGTTGTGGCGCTCGTGCTCTATCTACTGGACAGGTGCGTAAACTCTGAATTCAGCACATAAGCAATTAGAGTCCCAGACACAAACCCTAATACCGATTGAGTGATGGCTTGGACAAAGGGCTCGTTGCATTTGACGGTTAAAGAACAGCGAGCAGAGCGAACATCCTCTCGTACAATATCCCCCAGACATCACTTAGCCATGGTTTAGCCAGCTGGACAACTGAGCATACGTTCGTTCTAATTAAATGATTCTCTAATACTCAGATTCTCACCGTTTGGACGCTTCAAGCTCTCGCACTCGGACAGCAACGAGGAGAAGGCGCTGAATCTCAGCTCCGCCATTTGGTTCGCCTGGGGCGTGCTGCTCAACAGCGGCATTGGTGAGGGTACACCGCGCAGTTTCTCGGCCCGGGTGCTGGGCATGGTCTGGGCCGGCTTTGCCATGATCATAGTTGCCTCCTACACTGCCAACCTGGCTGCCTTCCTCGTGCTGGAGCGGCCCAAGACAAAGCTGAGCGGCATTAATGATGCCCGTCTGCGCAACACCATGGAGAATCTCACCTGTGCCACGGTCAAAGGCTCCTCGGTGGACATGTACTTCCGGCGTCAGGTGGAGCTGTCGAACATGTACCGTACCATGGAGTCCAACAACTACGTCACTGCCGAGCAGGCCATTCAGGACGTGAAGAAGGGGTAACTGAACTTGCTAGCGAGCCGAAGATCGCTTCGAGTGTTTGTTTACCATATAGCTGAAATAGTCGCATGATTTTGCCACTGCAACTAACAACAACAACAACAACTACTACTACTACTACTACTACTACAACAACAACAATAACTACAACGATACTCACTCTTCACTCTCTCCACTCAATTCAATATCTTACCACTCTCTTTTTGTCTCTCCCCCTTTATAAATATATATATCGCTCACTTTTTCTCTCTCTCTCTCTCTCTCTCTTTCTCTTCAGTAGCCGTAGTAATCGTACTCATACTCGTATTGTACTCGTATTTTGAAGAATCCTCTAAATATTTAAATATTCTCTCAAAGTTTTCATAAAAAAACAAAAGAATTTTATCTACTCTCCTAAATGTTGTACAACCAAAACTCGCTCTGGTCTTACCACGATTCTAATTTATTCAAACTTTTCCTT